TCATAAAGTGGCATTTATTCATTGATTCGCTGTTGAATTGCTTTTTATTCAAAAAGAATAAGTTGGCTGTGACATGAATTCCATGATATATCGACACTTGGTAGGCTTTGAAAGTTAAATATCATTAGTAAACCGATATTATTCAAAATATTTTGATATTCTGATCAATGTCTGCAGGTTGTCAATAGCTTGTTTGAGTCAAGGTGAAAACCTCCGAAAATAACTCAAGATATTGAGGAATCTAAGATAGGAATATATTTGTTCGAATTCAGCTACTCGTACAGAAATTATCTAGTATCTGTCTTTTATTTTCGCCATGTACCTATCACATGATCTTCCCATTTGGAATAATAAAACTAAAATTGTTCCTCTTATACGATGATCCACAGGGCTATCAGTCTATTTTTTCATAATCATTTCACTTAGTAGGCGGTGTATCTACACAAAATGTTTTATGTGTTTGACAGATAATCGATTGCATCAATAATTTTTCCTCTTTATTTGTGTGTTGATTAAAATTGCATATTATCAATAGAGACGGAAAAAGAAACGGAAAAGTCGATATGTTATCAGATCTAGTAACCTAACCAAAGATATGTTACCAGATCTAGTAACCTAACCTAAGATATGTTACCAGATCTAGTAACCTAACCTAAGATATGTTACTACATCTAGTAACCTAACCTAAGATATCTTACTAGATCTAGTAACCTAACCTAAGATATGTTACCAGATCTAGTAACCCAACCTAAGATATGTTACCAGATCTAGTAACCTAACCTAAGATATGTTACCAGATCTAGTAACCTAACCTAAGATATGTTACTAGATCTAGTAACCTAACCTAAGATATGTTACCAGATCTAGTAACCCAACCTAAGATATGTTACCAGATCTAGTAACCTAACCTAAGATATGTTACCAGATCTAGTAACCTAACCTAAGATATGTTACTAGATCTAGTAACCTAACCTAAGATATCTTACTAGATCTAGTAACCTAACCTAAGATATGTTACCAGATCTAGTAGAAGTATTTCTGGACACCAGATATTTTTTGATGACCACATCATTGAATCTATTATCACAGTCTGAAGATCATTATTTCAGAAGTATTTCTGGGCATCAGATATTTTTTATGGCCACAGCATCGAATCTATGACCACAGCCTGAAAATTGTTACTTCAGAAGTAAGCCTGGGCACCAGATATTTCTTGATGGCCACATCATTGAATCTATGAATCTATGACCACAGTCTGAAGATCATTATTTCAGAAGTATTTCTGGGCATCAGATATTTATTGATGACCACAGCATTGAATCTATGACCACACTCCACAGCCTGATGACCACATCATTGAATCTATTATCACAGTCTGAAAATCATTATTTCAGAAGTATTTCTGGACACCAGATATTTCTTGATGACCACAGCATTGAATCTATGACCACAGTCTGAAAATCATTATTTCAGAAGTAATTCTGGACATCAGATATTTCTTGATGACCAAATCATTGAATAGGAATTATAAACATCTCAATTGATTCTATGACCACAGTGTGTGTCAAGACGTTGGCATGAAATGGAAATGGATGTTTTCTTACTTTTAGCATAGATGCTCTGCGGTGGATCGTTGCCAGAGCGCTTGGATTAAAATTATCACTCCTGTCTTCGAAAATTTTAATCAGACAAGCAATGAGGAAGTAAGGCAGGCTAAGGAAGGCTTCTACTAGTTCAGTGTTTATACTGTCAAAGCAATCAAAGCAAGAGTGTACAAGTAGCGCGTAGAGCGGTATTGTTGTGGTCTCGGTTTTTTGAAGGTGAGCTCCATTTTTATTTAGTTTTTGGTTTCGAAAATAGTTTCACACATGTTTACCAAGAATCGGTGAAGGAAAACGGAAAATTTATAAATATTATTATTTGGAGATGAAACCGGGATCAGATATTTTTATAGAGATTCAGTCGAATCCTAAGAAGAATATTGAGGAATTAGAGAATATTCAATTCAGATCATAATCAAAATACAATTAAGTATTCATTCTTAAAAACATGAATATTTATATGCTTATCCATACTTCCTCGTTTTTTTTGAAACAAAACATCCATTCAGAATTATCCTTCGGAATATCATTTCGAGATCAACAAATTATGTCATTGCATGCCTATGAATGAGGAGATAAATATATATAATATATATCGGGTGATTAACTTCAGATTTTTCAAATTTTAATTATACAAGGTGTTTTTGAAGTGAGTACATTTAATCAGCACATCGATATAATACAGTCTAACGAATATTCCCATGATATCAGATTTTTCCTAATTCTTCTAATTAAAATTAAATTTCATCCTGAATATCGAACAAAAAACGAGAAAAATATTAGGTACGCCACTTTAAAACAATTTGAATAATTGAAATTCGCGTAATGCCTTCCGCACGAAAATTTTAACAAAGGAGATGTCAGAATTGCTACAGTGTGGAACTTTGGGTGCAAAAAGGGTCTAATCCTCAAATTTTATTTCGATACCCATATTTTTTTATTGGTGCCACTTGATAGTATACGTCGACCTTACTCAAGGCTTCAAATATTTGCACTTATTTCAATGCCACCCTGTATATATTCCGTTTGTTAAATGGTGGTCATTTATAAAAATATACAAGATATATAGAGCCTTGAGGTTGCCTGATCAGATTTAAAAAAACATTTTCCATTCAAAAGATATAATGAGTTATTGAAAGAACTATATCTAACAGAGAATTTTGTGCAGAATCTATTGGAGTTCCCAATTTTTTCCAGGTATAGTTTCGGAGATACGACACAAACTTTTTTCATGGCACACCCTGTATTTTACTCTTTCGTTCTTTTTATTATTTTTCCGTCTTTAAAATGATGCATGATTCAAAAAGTTTTGAAAAATGCGTCGCGTTTTGGTGAGAACTCCAAAAAAAACAACATTTCATCGAGATTTTCTTAATTTGTGAAAAATGACCAGATAATGTTGCATTCGAGCGAGTTATCTTATACAAATAATTGTATTCGGTTATTCTCTCTCGCAATTTTTAGATAACACGCTTTCTTGCAAGATTATCGGTAATTTTTTTACACTTGCATCAATTTTAATGGTGTTATTACACAAGCAGAAAGGACATGTTTCGGTCTTATAGTCCATCTTCAGCCTGATTGAAAGTTTTGGAGTTGAAAAAGTGTGATGCTACTAGCTGTAAAATTGTTGCCAATGCCCATAGTCGAACAATCGAGTTCATAATGAATGAAGTTCCAGTTCATAGTGAAAATTTCATATACCAAAATGGTATATGTAGGGTAATTGCCAAAAAAAATTACACCATATACAGGGTGTTTCATTATTAATTGGAAATATTTCAACCATAGAATCCCGAACTCAAAATATGAAGATTTAACCCCAATCACTAGATAAAATATGTCTCCTGTCTGAGTTACAGGGTGTTTTATTAAAAAATGTTGAAATGTTTTTTGCCCAGTTCTTGAAAACTATTTGACGTATCACTTTCATATTTGGAGGGAAGTGTAAGTACTATACATCCAACTGAATTATGTGAAATGAACTTTTCTAGCTATTACCAGAGGTGTACGACAGGGGCAAGTGACTGGTTGATCCTTCCCAAATTCTACGCCACTGACGGAATTGCAATTTTATCAGAATTTTTCGATTCTTTAATACCTTCTTCGTGAATATTGTACTCTCTTCATAGCGATTGAGCCATTATTTTACAGGCTGTGAACATTGTTCTTTTTTCTCTGCGGAAAATACATATATCTTTGATTTGTGTACAGAGCAAAGCCAACTTGACAAAAAATCCGTTCCATATAGTTTAATGAAAAATGATACTATATGCCTTCGTTTACAGACTATAATTATTGATCCGCCTACGAAACCGGTGGATTCAGTTCTCAAAACCACTTTGTATAATCAATAAGGCCAATTCGTTGATTACTAGCCAAATCATTGTTTCTACTGAATTCGTATACTCAAATTTACATGTACTCGTACATAATTTATAAGGAATTATATAAATAATACCTCATGACTTTCCATAAATTTCATTGTTTTTCGCTGAACTGTCGTCAGCACAAACATCATAAGATTTTGTAAAACCCATAATAATTATTATAGAAATGACACATAGATAAATCACCCACTTGATCGATTTCAATATTTCAAATTAACACAATGCCAGTGAATTTCTACTCAAAGTCAGACACTCAAGAATTCTTTTTCCGTTCAATTTCCAGGAATCAAAATTCTCATTCTAATATCAAGTTTATTCCGACAAAAATAAGCTCTAGTGTGATAATAAGTAATATAACATTTTACGTTTCTGTCAATTATAATCAGTATTATATTAGTATGCATGTATTCTCTTACTGAAAATCAAGATTTTTTTCCGGGTCGAAGTAAATTTGACATTATAAATCGATGTTTGCTGCCTCTAGGAATATTAAACATCCAACTGAATTTGAAACAATTTTTTTCACCTTTATGACACCCCGCTAGATAACCAAACTATCAATTTGAAGGCATTTGACCTTGAACAACAACAAAATTCCAGATTTCCAAGGGAATTTCTTTATTATTCCACGAGCACTTGTCCTACTAACCATCTTGGAATCACCCTGTACATTGAAAAATCAGTTGCATCGCCAACAACGATATGTCAACAACGATATGATGAATTTCTGAGAAATAATGGAATTTCTATTACACCCAGGTATTATTTATATTTTATAGGTTTTCCACGGAAACTCGAGTATTTCCCAATCACAAATCAGATGAGAAGATTGTGTAGTACTATTATAGATATATCTGCAGAGATATACGTTTTGAAGCAAACATGTATCGATCAAGAACGAGATCAAAAGAATAATTTATTTCGACACGCCTTCCAAAATTGTTGAAAAGTAAGGAGCTGTTATTTTTTTGTTTTTTGTTTCAGATAGTCTGTAGAAAAATACAGAATCATGATCAAAAAATATAGTACCACCGAAGAGGATAAATACCATACCCAAATCATAGCTATATGCGTATGTAAGTATTTGTTCAATATTAAATTATTTATAGTTATAATCGAGAACATTAATTATATCAGAAAATAAGGAAGTACCGGGAGACTCATTATGTTTTGATATTTTTGAACCACTATATGTTTATCTCCGTAATTATAAAATATGATTGGGTTTTCACCAGACTTTGTTTTGGGGTAATTGACACTATTGATGATTTTTATTAATTTGAAGAAAATTGATATTAAATTATAAATAAAGAGTTTATCTGAAACTTCCTCAAGCATTATAGAGATAAAACTATATATAGCTAATGTTTCGAATACATTATTCTGAGGGGTTCTTTTTGATGTCCTTCCAATGAATTATTTTAATTACTTTAAAAATTATTCAAGGAGAATAACCGCATGCCTGTGTGGTCTTTTAGCTTTTTTTCTTTATGAGAAAGTTCTGTAGGAACACATTCCATAAGAAATCATCATCTTATTTTCTCTGCTAGCTAGTTTTCTCTCAAACAGGTCTCTCCATGTAGTGGTCGACGGAGTTTCATCTGATTCTCATATTATAAATGCTGGTGTTCCGCAAGGATCAATTCTAGCACCAACACTATTTTTACTCCATATCTACGATTTGTTGGATGATAGTACCCTCCATACCGCCTTCTCTTCCAGGGCTCCTATACCAGCCAGGCAAATCAGAAACGTACGAAGGAGAAATGTTGACAACATAAATATGGACTTGGCAACGATTCTCGAATGGGGATCCAATAATAACTTAGTAGATATCAATGCAAACAAAACACAAGCATGCTTTTTCTCTAGAAAAGCCGATCTCACTGTGCCCAACATAAGCTTGTCAGGAGTAACCATACCTTTGAAGACATCCATTTCGATGCTTGGTATTACTATCAGCAATAACCTCCCTTGGGTACAATTTCTAAAAGTGCATCCCAAGAACTTGGTTTTCTGTTTCGGGCCAGGAGCTATTTCACTGCCAGTCAGCTGCTTATGATCTATAAGGCACAGATCCGACCTGTCCTGGAATACTGTTCCCATATTTGGAGTGCAGCACCCAAACATACCCTGAAACTGTTGGATTCTGTCCAAAACAGGGCAATTCGTCTCATGGGTGATGCCTCGCTCACAAACTCACTCACTTCTCTGGGACACCGTAGAAAAGTTGGCGATCTGGCTCTATTTTATAGATATTTTCATGGTCGATACTCTTCTGAAATATCAACAATTGTTCCTCCCTTGGCAGTCCCCTCGAGATCAACCCGTCGAGTTGAGGCCGCACCCCTTCGTGGTCACTTGGAAAACCTGCAGACCATCTCTTTCCAAAGACTCGTTCATCTAACGAACAGCGAGGATCTGGAACACATTGCCAAGGGAGGTGTTCCCGAGGCATATAACCTCCAGAAATTTAAGAAGAGCACCAATTCCTACCTTATTTTTCTTGATTCTCTGAACATTACAGGATATCCCTTTTCGTGGGAACCAGAACATAAAAAAAAGGTTCTACCTCTGAATCCGAGATATTTCCCACATTTTTCCGGACACCCTTCCTAATGAAAGATTTGGTTTTTTCAGCTAGCCTATCAGCTGTCACCTATGGCATCCTATTCGCATGGACATCCCCCTTCATCGTCAAAATCATCGAAGACAAAGAAAACTATGACATCACCGAGAGCCAAGCAGCTTACTTCACAGTCATACCACCCCTGATGATGATTTTGACATGCCCCATCTTCAGCAAACTCAGTGACGTCATAGGCAGGAAGAGAACCCTATTGATAATGCCAGTGCCGTACGTCTTGGCACTGTTGTTCACCATAGTGTCCAACAAACTCGGGGTGTTGTACTTATCCAGGTTCTGCGTGGGAATAGGGGATGGTTGCCTCTACTCCACCCTACCGGTGTACATTGGGGAGATTTCGGTCCCTAAGATTCGAGGGACTTGCGGGAATCTGGTCAGCGTTTTTATGTTGCTGGGAGTGTTCGTGGTCAACGTCATCGGGTCCTATCTGGATGTCAAGAATTCCGGGTATATCTGCATGGTTTTGCCCATCGTTTATTTTGTGCTCATGATGTTCATGCCAGAGTCGCCCTACTACTATATAGCTAAAGGTAAGATCGGAATTTCAGATACAAACATTTCATTAGAATATCTACCAACTACAAAAGCTCATAATATGAGAAAAAAGTCCTAAGAACATTGCAAGGAAAATTGGTATGAAAACATCTTATTCGTATTCGCTATCCAGGATGTTGAAATAACTCACACAAAAATCGTTTATTAATATCTCTACCATATTATGAATTCCTTGAAACTAAGTCTATTTGTAGTAAGGTAGGACATATTTTAATGTAATTAGATTCAACTATATAGTTCAGTCCAGTGAAATTCCTGGAGGGAAAGCAGTCAGTATTGAAAAATAGTTATTTATTATACAAAAGAAAAATGTAGTAGATTTTAGCTCCAGGTTGTGTGTGACACAAAACCGTGAGCTACACTGTTTTCGATATATTAATGAGGTATTATTACTTCGCAAAATTTCATCCCCCATGAAATGTAAAATTTCAAACAATGGCAACGCTGTCTAATAGATGAGCATTACTTAAGGGAAAATCAGATGGCTACAAGCAGAATAAATAAAAAATTATTCAACTTTCGATTCCCAATTTCAGCATTCAGGAATGAGTCGAAAAAAAAACATTAACCGATTCACTGTTAATTTCAAGAAAATAACCATCAGAATTATCTTTCACAAAATGAGAACCTAGTTTATTTCGATTGAATACCATAATATTCTGCTTCTTCTAATTTTATACTATTTGTATCGTGTGAATCTCAGTACACCCTTATGGTGGAAGTGAATTCTCACTCTCATTCGTTGTTGAGTAATATTATGTTACTTATAGTGTGTTCAAACATTGTGTGACTTGGGAAATTCTATTTGTCTATGGATATCAGATCTTGCTTCATTATTCAATTAAAAAAAGATTAGATATAATAACACCAGTTTCTTTATTAATGTTTGCCAGTGTAATCTGATTTGTATCGCATTCAAAAGGTATTTGTTCCAAGTGTTTATTAGCTGTCAACATCTTATTTACCTACTGTAGTACATATAGTAAAGTATAGTAGATATTTTGTTTTGAATGAACGTGAAATGACACTTTTTGTAGCATGTTTCTATTGTCCTGTGTGTTCTTGTTAAGGACTTATTACCCCTGTAAAATGTTTTTTTATCGAATTTGATGAAAAATTCTTTATATATTAAATCATGGAAACCATCCATATTTCTCAAAGTGGTCCAATTGATTTTCATGAGAAAAAACAATGAAGGACCCAAAGTCTGTCGACCACGAAAAAGTATTTAATAACAGTAGTGTAACTAGTTTCGGCCACAGGCCATCATCAGACACAAAATTGATGTATTAAAAGTACCTAAAAGATATAATGAACACTGTTAAGGATTCAAAAAGAGGGTCAAAGAGTTGGTATAGTAACCTCAGTAATACATATCAACATCAATCAATCGTTATCAAAAAGCTAAGGTCGAAAAATCAAATTATCAGTCCTGAATGTGAGTGACTTGATTTTCGGGCTGTAATCATGGCCAACTCTAAAAAGATCACCAAATTTACTAAAGTTCTATCAGATATTTTTTGGACGACGGATTCTTCTTGAGAATCAATTCTAACATATCTGTACCGATTTTCATAATTCTAAATACAGGTTGAAGAAATAATAATCCATTTTCCTTTTTCACACATGATGAAAATCGGTGTATGTATATGTTTCTAGTAATCTTAATTAAGTTTGACAGTTTTCGTGGAAAAGCCTTATACACAAACTGGCACAATTAGGGGAACGGGCAAAATTTATACAAGTTCAATCAATCAATTTTCTTTCGAACCGATCGCTCGATTCAATTTTTTTTCTTCACGAAATGTAGCTTCATTCTTCACGAATACATCTGAGAAATAATTACCTTCAAACGATGAGTCTTTCCATTATATACAGGGGTGTAAAGAAAGTACGGATTTTTCGGTATTTCTTTAGACATCCTGTGGACTGAACCACTGATAATTGAAACGATTTCTCAACACCAAATTGGAGCCCAATCTATTCCGAATATTTTCGTTTTTTATTCATCTTGATATCTCAATTATTCAAGAAAATACAGAGTTCCAAAGGAAAGGTGGATATTGGTATCAATTTTACACCTCAAAACTCAAATTGGATCTGAAAATGTGTCGTTTCTTGACTAACCTAACCTAACCATGACTAAACCTCTGCCATAGGAGACAGAAGCAGTAAAATCAAATTGTTCATTTTGTTCACCTCGGCGATATAGTCTTTCCCTGCCATCTATTGAATTGGTGCAGATGCGGCTCTCATATGTTAAAAGAACATTGGCCCACTGGTCATTTTCAATTAATGCTACAGCCCTCGCCACATCAGTAGGGGTCAAATCTCTCACGTTGAATTTTTATTAATCAAATTTATGAATTGTGAATCGCTTGACTTTGGCAATAATTAATGACATTAACAAAATAGCCAACGTTGATTAACAAAAATAGCATTTCAACGAAAGAACATTGGAGCAACTTTTATCACTCCTGCATATTCATGAGAGTATTCGTATATGTGTCTTTAAACAGTGAACCGATAGGTAAAACTGTGAACAATTCTCATCATGAAGTAAAAATCCTCACAGAAACAAGTTGGAAAACGACACGTTCTCCCCAGTTCGAGTTTCGAGGTGGTAAAATTAATACCAATATATCCACCTCTTCTTTGAAACTCTATATTTTCTTGGATAATTGGGATATCAAGATGAATGGAAACGAAAATATTCGGGATAGATTGGGCTATAATTTGGTGTTGGAAAATCGTTTCAATTATCAGTGGTTCACTCCACAGGATGTCTTAAAGAATACCGAAAAATCCGTACTTTCTTTACACCCCTGTATATGATATAAAGACGAATCGTTTGGAGATGGTTATTTCTCAGATGTATTCGTGAAGAATGAAGCTACAATTCGTGAAAAAAAATTTGAATCGAGTGATTGGTTCGCGAGAAAATTGATGTCAAACTTAGTGTAAATTTTACCCATTCCCCTAATTGTGCCAGTGTGTGTAGTACTTGAAATGTAAGCCCATGAAAATGAAATTATCGTTATCGAAACACTTTTGAAATCGATAAAAAAAGTCAGCATCTTGAATTTGGATTTGTACCTGCCTCAATAATTAGCCTTTCTAATTGCCCAGGTAAACCGGAAAAGGCAAAAAAATCTCTGAGATGGCTGCGATCCAGAGAAGACGTCGACGAAATCTACCTGAAACTCAGCTCAGACCTGGAACACCAACTCGCTGAAGCTGGTACTTGGAAAGACCTGTTCTGCATCAGAAACAACAGGCGAGCCTTAGTCGCCAGCCTTTTCCTCAGGATAGCTCAGCAATTTTCTGGCACGGCTACCATCACTGTATACACCAAGCTAGTATTCGAAAAATCCGGAGCTAATGTCAGCTCAGAAATCCCTAGTATGGCAGCTAGCGGTCTAGGCTTCGTGTTCATATTTGTAGCCGGATTCTGCATTGAGAGATTCGGAAGGAAGAAGATGTTCATGATTTCTCTGAGCTCTTGTAGCATAGTGCTGTTGACGATGGCGGTGTACTTTTATTTGGACGATAAAGTACCCAGCGTTGACGTGACCCCAGCTAAATGGATACCAATTGCAGGTACCATACTGTTTATAGTTTCCACATCTTTTGGAACTTTTAATATCCCTACCTTGATGTCTGGAGAGCTGTTTTCCTCCAGCATCAAAGCTAAAGCTATGAGCGTTTTAACGCTAACTTTCGGTGTTTTCATGTTCTTAGCTAACAATATTTTTCATTTTCTTGATGTGTGGGTAGGGTTTTACGCGCCCTTTTTGTTTTTCGGGGTTTTTAGTATAATCAGTGTGTTTTTGACGATATTTTTGATACCTGAGACTAAAGGTAAAACTTTGGAAGATATCCAACAAAAACTTTACAGGAAAAAGACGAAAACTGTCGAGGTAGTTGAAGATGGAAAAACCCGATATTAGTTAGGATAGCGAATGATTGTGTATGTATATGTCGGCGTCAATTAGTGAAATCCGTCGTTCCATGAAATGCCTAGTCATTTCACGTTTTGTCGGCAAACAGCGTAACTTCCATTGCCGTTACTCTGTTTGCCGGAGAGTTGAGGAAGGAAAATATCCTTTCTGCATATGCATAAGAAGAGAAACTATTTTTCTGCCTAAACGAACTTTCTTTCTAGAAAGTATATTTTTCAGAAAATCACTTGAGGGAACAGAAGAGGCTACTGCTTCTCAACAACCTAAGCTGACTCGGCCCAAATGACCTTCAGTCATTATAGGGAATGCCTGAAACTATTAGGCAAACGGAGTACAAAATTTAGAGTTACGCTGTTTGCCGGCAATACGTGAAATGACTAGGCATTCCAGAGAATGACGGATTCCACTAATTGACGTCGACATATACATTGTATTCGTCTAAGCAACAAGTGTGAAAATGATCTATCATGATCTAGGTAAATTTTGACTAGAATTTGAAACTAAAGTACAATAAGCATATTTTATGTTGGGATTGACGTGTTTAATTGTTTCAACTGTAATCGAGACTGTAGTCAAACTCTTATGATTTACTTCTCAGTTCTATAGGTTGACGAATGATTTTCAAAATCTGATCGATGTAATTTTCTGTCATCCAATTCAAATAGGAACATTTTTATGAATTTCTACTAACTTGTTGATTGATTGATTGATTATTTTGCAATGGTAGCTCCCATTTTAGTTAACTGTTGTGGTTTACTACCTATACATCATTTCATCCATCAATAATTATCTATGTATTTTTTTTGTACTTTTGTACTTAGTCAATAGGTAGATGACAAAACTGAAGAAATACCTAATTATAATTTTTGGTAATATATTCATCACTTGCAGACCTTGTTTGTGTATATTGGTAGTTACTTAATTGACTGATCTGACTGATGACTTGTTTTTGTCATCATTGGAAAAGACTCCTTAATTTATTCATGTGTTTTGTATTTCTACACAGGCCCATGGTAGACCTCCCTTTTCTCCTTTGTTTTTATTGCTATATTTCTGAAATTTAAAACATCGAATATGCTCACTAGATAACGCACATTTTCCATGACCAGTTAGATATCGTCATAAAGAATTCAACTATACCGGGTGAGATTGGGTTCTTCTAGTGAGCATATTCGATGTTTCAAATTTCAGAAATATAGCTAGAAAAACAAAGGAGAAAAGAAGGGTATACCATAAGTCTGTGTCACCGGGTATATATTTTAGGATAACTCCTATAATAATAAATGCTCTGTTTGTTTTCCATTGTGTTTTGCTAGGTATTTCACATATCATCAAAGTAGTACAGTAAATATTGTATAAGTATGTATTGTAGATGATGAATCATGAAAGCATACTTTGATTTACCTGGCCTGTGATTTTTTATATGTAGTATTTGAATTCAAGTTCAAACGACAATTGAATATATTTTTTTACTGAAATATATTCGCTTAATTTCTTTACAACCTTTCTCACACCCATAGTTTTTTCGAAAACTTCAGAATTATCATATCTGGAGAAAAGATGATCCGATCGGGCTTGGGTCATATAATACATCTCAGAAATCGAAAAATTCGAAAAACAGAATAATCTATTTTTTCTGTGACGGGAAAAAAATTTGGCATTTCATGTCTGTTGGCAGGTCATGAAATGTCACTTTTCATAAATTACTTTTTTCCCGTGGAAAAAAAGTTTGTACTTTTTTCCCGGATATACGTATATCACATATATATACACTGTTGATGGCTTTTGTTCTGCTATAGTTCCGAAAAATGAGTCAATAATACCGTCTCCGAGAAAGAACTGCAAGTCCTTTCATCTTCCATTCGACTTCGCGGTTACGTATATTACTAAACAACCTCTAAATTCGCAATTTTTTTAAATCAAATCACAGAATTAGACTGACAGAAGTGACATCAGATATTTGATTACATCAAAAGAATGAGATGCCTACAACGCAGGTGTTCCTTCTGTTAAAAACTTAAAATTTCACGTCGATAATTTTCAGATTTCAAATAATGTAATATATTCTCAATATTGATTCGTCCTTCCTGCTGTCACAGAAAAAAATAGTGTATAATTCACGGGAAAAAAATTAGATGATGCGATTGGGTTCGGGTTTTTCTGCCAGCAATCAATTTTCTCATTATAATACAGTACAGAAATCGAAAAATTCGATAAATTAAAACATCTAATTTTTTATGTGCAGTTTTCTCACTAGGTAAACTTGTACAGTGTGACAAAGATGGATATAATTTACGGTATTCTATTGTGTTATTTTATGAGATACATCGATTTTATAAAAATTTATACGATTTTTCTTCACTCTTTTTGGAAAACTAGAGAAGGAATTTTTTCAATGGAGGGGTGTATATCGAAGACTGGAACCTTTGGCACGTTGATCACATTATCACTGTTTTACCACTGACCAAACCGATTTCTCACACGTGTTTCGCTATTCAAAGAAGATTGAAATCTTCTTCTTCTGATGAGGATGCTAACATGTTTAGCGAAACACGTGACGAGGAGTTTCAAAAATACACTCAGTTCCAAAAAAATCTTCTTTAAAAAAATAGTAGTCTGATTTCTATTTTTTTATTCGTTTTTATTGTCTCCTAGCTTTCAAATTAACTTCTTTTAGACGTCTACATACCGTCTGATTACTTACTGCAACATCACGAATTTGGCAAAGATCTTGCTGAACATTTACCGCAGTATTTGATCGATTCCGTAAAATGCGCAATCTCAAGAAGCGATCATCTCTTGGAAAAGTTTTTCGGGGGCGACCAGTACCGACCCTCCGAGCCGTGCTTCCTTTTTGTTCGTACTTGCGGATTGCTCTACGAGCAGTTGCTTCATGAACTCCCACTGCACGAGCGGCGTAACGTTCACTACGCCCATCGTTTACTAACGCAACTAATCTTGCTACTTGTTCACAATTTATTTGAGGCATTTTATGTAATTTTTAGTCAATAAAACAAGACACTTATTAAATGACACACCGACAAATGGTCAAATATGGAGGCATACAACAAAGTAGTTGCTATGGCAACGGCATTTGGTTTTTTAAAGACAATGTGATCCTACCAGAGTACAACCCAATCCATTTTGAGTACTCTGATCCTTCAATAAATTTAATTTGTGAGATAAGCGTAAGGTATCAGCAAAAAAGCTGTAATTCGGACAATTTTAGAGATAAATCAATGAATAGGGTGTAAGCACTTTGTATACCATTACTCAATTAACACACAGGGTGAGTCAAAAATTAAGAATAAATCATGGTTCGAGTTATTCCACCACCATCAAGGAGGCTTTGAAAAAATTGTCACCTCTTTATTTTTTTTAAAGACAAATGCATTACCTACCAACAAATAAAAAAAATCGGCCTACTATTTTTTTTTCAAAGATAGGTCAAATATCAAGTGCGTCACTTTTTTTGGAACTGATTGTAGATTTGGTTCATTTGGTTAGTAAACCATTGTAGTGTGAGGGGAGCGAGTTCTTGAAATACTATAGTTAGCGCAAGTTGACAGAAATTAAAGAAAATAAATAGAGTATGTATACATGCTTGGGTTGCCCCATACATATTTATATATAGAGTCACCTACCTAATTAAAATGATAAGAATCACTAGTTGGGACTGTCGAGGTTTATTTATAATTAACGATAAGTCAATATTTCTTTAATCCTGATAAATCTTAGTAATTACAATAAAAAATGTACACAGTATAGAGTAATGAAATTATCAGAAAAAAGTACAATGACCTTCGAGGAAGTATACAAGGTGTGTTTTTGAAATAAGTGCACATATTCAGCACATCAATATACAGTGTGTCCACCTTAAGGACTTACCACCCCTGTAAAATTGTTATTATCTGACCGATTTCAAAAAACTTTTTTTTGTTGGATAGGTGTTTGAAATGGCCATCCAACAAGAGAGTGATTTTACTCATGAACTGTAATCGTGGCCAACTGCGACCAACTTTATTGACCCATATTTGAGAAAGTACTATTAGGGATTTTTTTTCACAAAAAACGATGATGGATTCTGAATCACGATCACTTGAAAAACACCTTTGATGATTTTTATCATCATAAAACACAGGGTGTCCAAAAAACACGAATTATGTTTTTTTTTAATAGGTGATCAGAAAATGTAGTATTGTGGTATTTTTGAGAAGAATTGATGACACATTATTATTGAGGATCACTTTGAACATATCTGTACCGATTTTCATTATTAAAAAATACGATGTGTATGAGAAAACAATTAAAAAGAAAAAGTAGGCAATATTTTTTCATCAACTAAAAAAAATATTAATTTGATTTTTCGAACACCCTGTGTTTAATGATGATGAAAATCGGTACAGGTATGTTCCAAGTGATCCTGATTCATCTTTTTATTTTGAGTGAAGAATTATCAGGACGAAAAATATTGCTTCCTTATCCTTTTTAATGTTTTTCTCAGACACATTGTATATTCAAATAACGAAAATTGGTACATGTATATTTGAAATAATTCTCAATGATAATTTGTGATTATTTCTCTCAAGAAAAACCACAGAACTAGATTTGCTGATCACCTATTTGAAGAAAATGATGATTCGTTTTTTCGGACACCCTGTGTTTTATGATGATGAAAATCGGTACAGGTATATTTCAAGTGGTACTGATTGAGAATCCATCATCAAGTTTTGTGGAAAAAAAAACCCTAATAGTACTTTCTGGAATATGGGTCATTGAAATTTGTCGCAGTTGGCCACGATAACAGTCCAAGAATTAGATCACTCTCTCGTTGGATGGGCATTTCAAATACCTATCCAACAAAAAAAAGTTTCTTGAAATTGGACGGATAATAACGATTTTACAGGGGTGGTAAGTCCTTAAGGTGGACACACTGTATATGATACAGTTTAAGAAATATTCCAATGATATCAGTTTTTTTTCTAATTCTTTTAATTAACGAGAAATTTCATCCCAAAAATTGAACGAAATACGAGAAAAAAATCGAGTACGCCATTTTAAAACAATTTAAATGATTGAACTCCGCGTGATTGTGCCTACGGCATGAAAATTGGAATAAAGGTTACGTCAGATTTTACTACAGTGTGGAACTTTGGGTGGAAAAAAGGATCTCGATCACCTCGAATAAATTCATTTTGATCCCTAAATGTTTTGTATTAGTGCCATTCGATAATACACGTCGAGCTTTCTCAGTGTTTGAAATATTTGCACTTATTTCAATGCCACCCTGTATATAATATAAAGCCTTCATTTTGTAATCAAAATGGACTGATCAACCATCAGTTAATTTTTGATTCTTCAGTTTTGAACATATTCAGAAACGTTGGTTTATATGAAAAAAAAATCATTACCTATATGGTAGGTATCGTATAATAGCTAGGTACCTATACTACATTCTAAATAAGAAGATATAGTAGGTAGCACGCTGCTTTCTGACATGTCGATAGAGCCTTGTTTGCTGATTTCAAAAATATATATGAGTTGCATATTTGGAGCTTGAACAATATATAAACGATATTTCAAAGCCCACTATTTATAACTTACATTAGATGATATGAAGTGAAGGTTTATAATGCGGTCCCAGGAAACCAGATGACGAATGATCGCGTCACTGTGACGTCCCTAATTGGTGATTTTTCGTAAGAGACGTCACACACCAATTTTTGACGTCACTATGACGTACTGTCTATGACGTGATAATCACGTCATCGTTTCGACGTCGAGTGAACGTCACTTAGATGAGTAAAATAAGACGTCAGTTTGATGACGTTGCAGGGACGTCCTGTCGACGTCCATTTTTCCCAGACCTTCTCTAAACCATGGATACTTATATAGTATCATGTGAAACAGAAGTATAACTCATGAAAGCGAATCAACTAAAGTTTAATTCTAATTATTAATATACCCGAAAAGTAGTAGAAAAACTTTTTTCTAAAAAACTTTGACACACTGTATATCTCGGGAACCAACAAGCTATGTATAAACATATACAGGGTGATTCAAAAGTAAGCGGCATCCTTTCAGAGGCGTATTCCTTGCATGAAAATAAGGCAAAAAGTTCCTATTGATAAGGATCCGAAAATGCTTCCTAAGGGAGCTACGGCCCTTTGAATAGGACACCTCAAAGACGGTTTTTTCTCTATAACTTTAAAATCCTTCACAACAAATTTTTAAAAATTGGTGTACGGCATAAACATTCGATGGTAAATAGGACTCCGTATTCGAAATAATTTCCAAACGAAATCACAGTAACCTGAATATCCGGAGAAGAAGGGATATTTTTACACTTACCCTCTCCCGCATGTGACGCCCCTGAATGAAATTCTGAAATTTCGAATACGGAGTCCTATTTACCATCGAATGTTTATGCCGTACACCAATTTTTAAAAATTTGTTGTGAAGGATTTTAAAGTTATAGAGAAAAAACCGTCTTTGAGGTGTCCTATTCAAAGGGCCGTAGCTCCCTTAGGAAGCATTTTCGGATCCTTATCAATAGGAACTTTTTGCCTTATTTTCAAGCAAGGAATACGCCTCTGAAAGGATGCCGCTTACTTTTGAATCACCCTGTATAAAAATGATTGTTTAGGTATACCTATATTGAAACCGTTACTCTTACGACGTTGCAGTAGGAAATTTTTCAATAATTTACTATTTATTATTTATTTATTTATCAATATACATTATTCAACAAACTATTCTTTGTTTGCTCACATCTCGCCAACACAAACTATATAATTTTTTAGACAAATACGAGTAAGTTATTGCATTCTGGTGGATGTCACAGTTTGGTGAGTGAATGACGTCAATACGACGTGAGTAATATGACGTCATTATGCTGTGACTTATTTACGTCATTATCACGTCACTGTGATGTCAACTACTGACGTCACCTTGGGCATTCAAGTGACGTAAAAAAGACGTCACTGGAACGTCATCTGATTGCCTGGGGTATTATGGTAAATTTTGATCAACAATAACTCAACTATTTTTGATCCAAATATGCAACTCATATATACATATTCTTGAAGTCAGAAAAAAAAGGCTCTATCGACATGTCGTAAATTATATAGGGTGTTCCATGGAAAAAATCGAAATTGATTTCCATTCTGGAGAAACGAATGACCCTGTATATGAAACAACTTCACGAAATAAAAGTTTAGGTAGTTTGACAAAACTTTTTCATTAAACATTTTTCCATATCTCTGAAAACGAAAGAATTAAGGGGGAATTCCATTTGAAGAGGCGCACCTTGTACAGGGTGGACAACTAAGAACGGCTGTCATATCTATCATTCTTCCAACTTTGATAGTTGATATCTTGCGGTTTTCGTTGGTTTGTTGAGATTTAGTTTCTCTATTACATCGTGTAATTATATGCATACTATCAGATTTATTCTATCTCAAACTTGTATCATTATTCTTTGCTGAGATATGGCCGATAGCCGTTCACCCGGTACATAGCAGCGATGAAACATTCGTAATACCGCAGTGTTGCCTAATCGCGACATCTCAGAGATGTCATATCGCAGATGTGTTTGCTTATGAACATCGCAGCGATGGAACGTTTGTGATATATCGCACTGTTACCTAAACGCGACATCTCAGAGATGTCATGAGATGTGTTGGCTGGGAACGAGATCTTTCTACTCATACGGAACTTTCGTAAATCACAATTTGCAACACTTGAGGCTTATGTTCAGTGGCGCTGGCTGTCAGATCTCTTATCGCTGCCTCAATTGCCTCCTCCCACTCTTTCCGCTTCATCTTCTTCTCTTTTTTGCCAGATGTCCGTTTTGACATGGTTACCTGAAGAATAAAATAAAATGAAGTGAGACACAACTATACTTATCAGACTATAAATTAGGCAAATATACGAGAAAAATGTATTGTTTTGGGATGGCAGTCGATAGTCGTATTTCTTCTACAACTCTTACCACAGTCAAAACTTTCATGAGGTCCTGCTGGAACGCTAGAACATCCAGGTTCGGCGCGTTTTCGGCGAACTTCCTGAAGTTTTCCGCTAGAGGGCCACTGAGCGCCTGCAGCTGACGCCATGACTGCGCGTACTGTCTGCGCAGTAGCTCGATTATGGTCGAGGTCAAAGCTAGACCGACCAGGATGTACAGGGTGCAAAGGAGCATGTATTTCGGCTGTTCTGTGAAACATATTGGAAAATATCAGAGGGAACTCTGATATATTGTTCTACTACGAAGCCCTGGAAGGGACACATAAAATAAAAAAAATGTTGACTCTTCAAAATTTCGAGTTATAATTCGAAATTTTAAAATTCCGAGTGATAAGTCGAAATTTTTCATCCGAAATTCCGAGTTATAACTCAGAATTTTAAAATTACGTGTTATAACTCGGAATTTTACATCAAAGTTCCGACTTATTGCTCGGAATTTCAAAATTCCGACTTATAACTCGGAATTTCACATCAAAATTCCGTCTCATTTCTCGGAATTCTAAAATTCTGAGTTATAACTCGGAATTTTGAATGTAAATTTCCGAGATATAGGTCAGAATTTCAAAACTTCGAGTTTCAACTCGGAATTTCGGATGTAAAGTTCCGAGATATAAGTCGGAATTTTAAAATTTTATTTTATGTGTCCCTTCCAAGGCTTCGTATCAAAATTCCGAGTTTCAGGATTTAATAGTATATTATGTAACAAGTGTTATAAACGTCCTTTTAGTAACGAGTATTTTAAGCACGACCGGAGCAGAGCGGAGCGAGTGTTTAATAAACGAGTGTCTAGAAGAGTTTATAAATGCGTTACATACTATGCTTTTTCTACGAACTCCGAAAATTACATTAACATACCTGCTATTCCTGATAACCTACAAAATAATTCGAATGGAATGGGAATGGAGAACATAATACATGCAACTGCATGCAACCAGCAAGACACGTATAAGTGATATTCGTTGTAGATGTGTCCAGTCCATTGCTGACTAACCTTTGTTTCACGTTTATTGTCATGCTTAGCGCAGAATGAATAAATTGTTCTCAAAGATTGATGCTTCATTTTTACACTTCTCTGAGATATGCAAGTACCAGAACATTCTCTTCTATTTCACTTTCGTCTACATTCCTCATATATTTTTAATGCAGAATTCTGATACAAACGAATATTGTTTGAATAATTTTGATACAAAATTTGAAAATAACAGTTGACCGTTAATACAATTGACAGGCCAGACATGTCTCAAATTACTGAAGCTGTCTTTAATGAACTGTGTTGCCATGGTAATGTGTTTAAGAAATCGTGTTGCCATCCTCAAAAATCGTGTGCTATTTTATTTTGTAAGACCACTGTCAGAAATACTTTACTTGAATCAATAGTTTTACGCATAGGTGAGGACATCATTCCATTCAAAAATAACACAAAAAATCTTGGGTTAGTGCTAGATTACAAATTACGTTTCAAAGAACATGTCAATCACATGCTGAAGAAATGTTACTTCAATATAAAAATGATATATCCTCATAGACACTCTCTTGGAAAAGATGTGAAGAAAATGTTATGCGACTCTATAGTACTTTCTCAACTTAATTATTGTGATACGGTCTATGGACCCTGTTTAGATTCTGTCGATATTAAACGCATACAAAAAGTACAAAATTCTTGTTTGAGGCTTATTTTTGGCATTAGAAAATACCAGAGAATCTCACATAAATTGAAGGATGTCAACTGGCTGAACATGCAAAACAGGCGAAAACTGCATTTGGTGTGCAGCTTCTACAAAGTAATGAAAACAAAAAAACCGGATTACCTTTATAAAAAAATTACATTCAGGAGTGACATGCATAATTTGAATATTCGGCAGACCAGTCTCATTACTATACCGAGACATAGGAAAGAAATCTTCAAAAAATGCTTTTCGTATAATATTTCCTATCATATCAATGCTCTAAATATAACAGACTTCACGCTTTCGCAGAAATCTTTCAAAAATATGTTATTCAAACAATTGGTTCAAATTCAAAATCAAACCTAAAAATTGTATCATTTTTGTGTTCATAAATATTATGTGTATATATTTCTCTCCCTATTGCTATCTTTCTTACTTTCTTTCTTTTTTCCTGTTTCTTATTCACTCATCTCCTCCTATATTGATTGATTTTTTTTTTTGTTGCTGTTGTTTTCGAGTATATTGTAGAGTTAGATGTAGATTTAGGCACGGCCAGATTGGAAGAACAGTTTCGTTTTACCTAGTAGAATGAAAACTGAACTCTGGCCCTTTACTCACCAGATGAATACTTATTTTGTATTATGCCTATCTAATGTAATTTCATTTTGGTGAATAATAAACGTATTATTATTATTATTATTATTATTATTATGGTAACGTGTTTAATATTTTGAATAAATCACAGATCGTCTATCCGTGATTAATCGATCATTTAGCGTGGTACATATCCGTACGCTAAATGCAATTTTAGTTATGTGAGTAGAAAAAAGAGTTTAATTTTTTTCATTTTATGTGTCATATCCCAGCAACCCGAAGGTCTGATCAATGCGCAGCAACTTCTTATTTGTCGTTGATGACATAAAGTCATGTTTCTTGGTGTTCAAAAATATAATTATGAGTAAGGATGTATGAGTATTATAAATATGACAGGTCCAATATAGAGGGTGTATCTAAATAACTTCGAAAAAATTATTCATATTTCAACAGAGGCAAAATTTTGAGGTACGACGAAATTAGTGTTGCCTAGTTTATTTCAAAGTTGAACAAATTGAAACTGGCGGAAACTGAAGAGTGGGCCATGGCCAAAAATTTTGTTTGTGACACGAGTTTGTGATGTTCGCAGCATGCCAGTTTGTCTGATGTTCATACACAACTTTCCTTTCAGCCTAATGATTTATGATGGTCATTAGCATCGCGATTTTCTCGGGTTTTCCTTCCCTCGGCACGTTCAAAGTGGAAATCTGAGGATTATATGGCTACGGCTATTTACTTGTTATGCGGCCGAGATGAATTTTCAGGTCCCGGAGACTCTTTATTTGGCGCTCCAAGAAGAAGGATATTTCGTTTATATCGTATTTTTTTGTATCCTTCTTATCAACCATCGAACGAACATGATTTTTCATGAAAATGCATGTAGGGTTTGAGCATCAATATTTTTATAGTTATTCATTATACAAGTGAAAAAAGAAGTAGATTTTAGCTCTAGGTTGTGTTGTCTCCCGACTCGTAGCTGAGGGAGACAAAAAATCGTGAGCTAAAATCTAATATTTTTCCCGTGTATAATACACTATTTTTCTCTGTGACAGAAGAAAGGGCGAATCAATATTGGGAAGCTATAACATTATTTTGAAATCTGAAAATAATCGACGTGAAATAAGTTTTTAACAGTAGGGACACCTGCGTTGTAAGCATCTTTATCATTCTTTTGAAGTAATCAAATATTTGATGTCACTTCTGTAAGTCTAATTCTGTGATTTGATTTCGAAAAATTGAGAATTTTGGAGATATTTAGTAATATACGTAACCGCGAAGTCGAATGGAAGATAAAAGGACTTGCAGTTCTTTCTCGTTCTACTCGTTACTGAAATGACACGTTTATAATACTTGTTGCATAATAAAAAAAAAACGTTTATAACACTTTTTACATAATATACTCAGTCCACTTGGCCATTTTGTCTAATCGTCCAAAAAAACAGTATTTCTGGACATGCTACATGAATTACTATTATCTGATCTTACTTGGCACTAAATCTCCGAAGCCTATGGTGGTCATGGTGACGAAGCAGAAGTAAAATCCTTCGAAAAACGTCCAGTCCTCCTCCCAAATGACGAAAAGTCCTGCGCCAGCAGCCAGGTATATGAACAGGAAGCAGACCGCCCAAAGGGCGAAAGAAGATGTTCTTCTGGCCTCCATTGCGCCCCTATAATCGAATTTTAAGTTACTACTTATGAAGAAATGGTTATACGCCCCTGAATTCGCTATGCATTATTTTATATATCCTGTAATGTTCAGAGATCATCGTGAGAATCAACGGAAATAAGGTAGGAATTGTTTTTCTTGAATTTCTGGAGGTTATATGCTTCGAGAAACACCTCCCTTGGCAATGTGTTCCAGACCCTCGCTGTTCGTTGGATGAACAAGTCTTTGGAAAGGGATGTTCTGCAGGTCTCCAAAGTGACCGCGAAGGGGTGCGAAGCCTCAACTCGACGGGTTAATCTTGCTGGGACTGCCAAGGGAAGAACAATTGTTGATATTTCAGAAGAGCATCGTCCATGAAAATATCTATAAAATAGAGCCAGATCGCCAACTTTTCTACGGTGTTCCAGAGAAGTGAGTGAGTTTGTGAGCGAGGCATCACCCACGAGACGAATTGCCCTTTCTTGGACAGAATCCAACAGTTTCAGGATATGTTTGGGTGCTGCAAATATGGGAACAGTATTCCAGGACAGGTCGGATCTGTGCCTTATAAACTACTCAACACTAATTTCGTCGCACACCAAAATGTCGCTTCTGTTATAATGTGAATAACTTTTTTCAGTTTAGAACAATTTGTATTTGGTTTACACTGTTCGATAGCCCAGTCCTTCAGCTATAGTCTCGTACTTCATTGAAACATGAGGGTATTCACATAAAATCTCTACATGGTGTTTTCCGACACTGTGCGAAATTTCGGAATATTCAAAAGGCTCTCAAATGGTGAAAAAAATTCTTTTCTCAACTTCGGCAACAGAAACATGAAGATGATCTCATAACCTTGAGATATTTCGCGAATCAACTTCCTATCTCTCTTATTTACAGGGTGATCTCAAAAAATCTACTTTTTGGTTTTGCAGCCATAACTTTTTTTTACGTCAACCGATTTTGGAAATCTTAGGCTCATTTTGAAGATAAAACTTCAGATGAAGAGATCTGGATATCAGAATTGACTCAAGATGGCTATCAAAGATCTAGAGTTTTCTTGAAAGTGACCCAAATCTGGAACGCCCTTCGAATCTTGGTTGGGAGGAGAATTGAATGAAAATCAACTTGTTATCGGAAAAACAATTCATTCTGGAATTGTGCGTGAGAAAACACGATTGAAACATGTTCTAGCAAAAACATTAGATCATTTCTACTCTGTAATGCATGGCCCGTAACCAACGTTACAAGAATTACAGTAAGTGACTGACAAGTCCAGATTTGGGTCACTTTCAAGAAAACTCTAGATCTTTGATAGCCATCTTGAGTCAATTCTGATATTCAGATCTCTTCATCTGAAGTTTTATCTTCAAAATGAGCCTAAGATTTCCAAAATCGGTTGACGTGGAAAAAAGTTATGGCTGCAAAACCAAAAAGTTGATTTTTTTAGATCACCCTGTAAATAAGAGAGATAGGAAGTTGATTCGCGAAATATCTCAAGGTTATGAGATCATCTTCATGCCTCTGTTGTCGAAGTTGAGAAAAAAATTGTTTTCACCATTTGAGAGCCTTTTGAATATTCCGAAATTTTGCACACTGTCGGAAAACACCATGTAAAGATTTTATGTGAATACCCTCATGTTCCAATGAAGTACCAGATTATAGCTGAAGGACTGGGCTATCGAACAGTGTGAACCAAATTCAAATTGTTTTAAACTGAAAAAAGTTATTCACATTATATCAGGGGCGACATTTTGGTATGCGACGAAATTAGTGTTGAGTAGTTTAGATCATAAGCAGCTGACTGAAAGTGAAATAGCTCCTGGCCCGAAACACCTTTAGCAATTGATCTCAGGTGATTTTCCCAAGGAAGGTTATTGCTGATAGTAATACCAAGCATCGAAATGGGTGTCTTCAAAGGTATGGTTACTCCCGACATGCTTATGTTGGGCACAGTGCGATCGGCTTTTCTAGAGAAAATGTATGCTTGTGTTTTGTTTGCATTGAAATCTATAAAGTTATTGGATCCCCATTCGAGAATTTTTGCCAAGTCCATATTTATATAGCAGCATCAAGATAAAACACGTCATATTTTGTCTATTATGATGTTCATGGATTTGAGAATTCCTTACCGATATCTGCCAACATATGAAGTTAGATTTCAGGAGTTTGTTGATAATATCAAAAGAAATTTTGATAGTATTCATCAGATAGTGCTCTTCCAAAGAAAATGTATTTGTTTCTTCATAAAGTTTATTTGATGGGGTTTCATATGGAAGACGATACAGTACTTTTAATGCTTTCTGATATAGTATAGATATTCTATTTACATTATTCGTGGTCATTTTGGAGATCTGCAGAATATCTCTTTCCAAAGACTCGTTCATCCAACCAACCAGGCTCTGAAACACATTGCCAAGGGTGGTGATTCCCGAGGCATATAACATCCAAAAATTTAAGAAGAACGCGGATTCCTACCTTATTTCCCTTGGTTCTCACGATGTTCTCTGAACATTACAGGAGATCCCTTTTCGTGGGAACCAGAACATAAAGAAAAATATGAATAATTACCTGAATCTGGCTGGAAGAGGCGGGATATGGTGGTACACGCTGGAAACGGTCGTAGCAAAAAGCCGTCCCCAATCTGCGATCACAGTCAACGTCAAAGGAATGCCGATGAAAGCAAAAAGAATGCAAAAGGCTCGTCCTTCGGTGGTCATCGGAACTATGTGCCCATAACCTAAAAAAGCTCGTATACTATCGGGTACTAGTTTTTTATTGTTGAGAACAATACTGCAGCAGGTCTGTTGAAATGCTCATCGACTGGGAATCATAATATAACGGTGACAGAGCTTACAAATACTGAGAAGTCTCAGCAACAGCAACCATTTTTCCATTCTTGATATACAGAGAAGTGCACAAAAAACGGCGCAATTTGGTATACTAGCTGCCCACCAATTTTCAATATCTTATCTCAAATAATTCAAAAGTTACAGTCCTGACCGTTTTTTGTGCACTTCTCTGTAAGTGATAGCGTTAGTTGAAATATTTAATAGATAGCAGGTTAATCTTTGGGAGAAGTCCATGGCAACTGAAATCAGATGAATTCAAGAAAAAGAAAATTCCTTATTTCTGAGCTCTTCATCAAATTTGTCATCAAGGTCAAGAATATCCAAGTAAAAGAAGATATACAATGACATAACCCCCCGAATTTCGGACGACTAGGATTTCTTTTGTTTCAGGTTATATATTTTGGCCCACAGTATGGCCATTGAAAAAAATTTTAAAAAATCCCAGTCATTCAAAATTTAACTTAAGGATTTACTTCATTGTCACAATGTATTCCAAAATTCTGAATGGAATAAATTTCTGACATGCTCACAAAGATATCATAAAAAACTATCGGAACATTTTAGAGATAAATCAATGAACAAAACAAAATGCTCGCAAAAGAAGCCTCTTTCGTATAGGGTGTAAGCACTTTCTATGCCATTACTCAATTAACACACAGGGTGAGTCAAAAATTAAGAATAAATCATGGTTCGATTTATTCCACTACCATCAAGGAGGATTTGAAAAAATGTTCACCTCTTTATTTTTTTTAAAAGACCAATGCTACCAACAAATTTTAAAAAAATCGGCCTACTATTATTTTTTTTTCAAGAAGATAGGTCAAATATCAAGTGCGTCACTATTTTTGGAACTGAGTGTATATAGAATATTTATTATATAAAGGAAATTGAGAGAAGTACAGCATACGAAAAAGAGAGGAGCGTATATAATAGAATGAGATCGGGCTGTATAGGAAGGAGCATCATCTCTCCCACTGCGGCAGATTTATAGCGGGAGTGATACATTATTGTCCACATTCCAGGAAGTTATGATAGTTATGACTCCAATAACACATTTTCCCCCAAGTGATCACTATAGTTAATATAATTCTTTAACTTGGTTGATTTCAAATATCAACTCAGATATTGATGCCTCGGAAAGCATAAGTGAATTCTTTCATCTCCTCACTGCAACGAAAGTGAGCGTTTGCTCCTTCATTTGAGGACACAAACCTGTCAATTTACTCCCACGGCAAAAAAATGACCTTCCGTTGTAGGTGCTTTCTTTCCCACTATGCAAAGTTGGAAGCTATGTTGATGCAATGTTGAAGCATTTACTGAAACGGATGTTCAGAAATATTGCAAAAGTGAAGTTTGATAATGTAACGTTGCTGCAATATTACCTGTTGCTGTGACATTGCTGGAACGTTACATTTATAAGCTTTACTTTTGCAGCTTCCCTAGTGGGTTGGTAGAGATATAGGTATAAGATCTGTTCTACCCAACTACCTAAGCAGTGTCTCCATCACTACTATAAAACAAATAACAATTTCCTTTTCGAACTTCAATGATCTCATAAACTTCCTCATATTCCAAACTAACCCAATCGGAACTTTAAATAAAATGAAAATGCAACTACACAATGAACAAATTCAATATGACAGAAGTGTCAAATTGATTTTCGTTCAGATCTTACTAACCTTAAATCATGTAACACATTGATTTGTATCTAGACTCGCGAGATAGACCGCTTCAAGGACAATTTCAAGACAACGCTCTCAAATATATACGTTCTTGGATAAAATCATATATATATATCTTGGGAACAAAAGTTCATTTCCTCCCATATATGTTTAATCCCTCCGCTACGCGTCAGGCCTCAAACTTCACACGCGGGAGGAAATGTGTACCTTTCCTCCCTTGATATATAATAGCTATTTATATATCAAAGGAGGAAAGGTATCCATTTCCTCCCGCGTGTGAAGTTTGATGCACGATGCGTAGCGGAGGGATCAGAAATACGTTCAGAATATTAAGAAGCGTATATCATTGGAATTCAAAAAGGATATTATTGTTACTTATTTTATAATAGTGGTAAAGACACGGATTACTTGAATTGCATAGATTTTATTGTTATATCGACGCCAAAGGATGCATGCTGAATCCAATTTATTTTACCTCCCACAGGAGTTAATGAATTGACAACTTTGTTTCCTTGAATGAGGGAGCAAACTCCTACTTTCGATTCAGTGAGTAGGTAAATAGCTTTTGTATACACCAGAATAACTTATTTTTCTTTAAGCACCACTTCGGAATATTGAGTAGGGTCTGAGCATGGGAGACCCCGAACACAGCAAATCAAAATAGTTGATCTATTCCGAAACTTCCTATCGTTCGTTGCATGTGTATCAAGCGTCTATCATTTGTATACACAACAAACTCAACAATCTGCTAGCCCAACATCCGTGTGGAAGATACTTAATTAGTTAAAGTTGTGTCACGGCTTATGATTTATTCAGGAATTAATAAAGGGATAGAACAGTTTTGGTGTCAGAGGAATAATGTTTTGTAAATTGGGTATTAAGGAAAGTTATAGGTATATTATACAAGCTGTTTGATTAAGGTCACCGGTTATCCATCATCTTTGGGAAAAGATTTCTCAGGGGCCACTAGGATATTTGCGGCTCTGATTAATTTAATTTTCCAGTTGCTATTCTTGTATCATAACCACTATTGCCCCTAAAAATTCATTTCCCACACCCACATCTGGGCATTTCTCCTAACAAATGATCACTATGAGTGATTACCACGATGATCGAATCATATTTTATAATTGCTCCTTTTTATCTCAACCTGGTCTAGAGTGTGTGGAGTGTGAAATGCACTCACTCAAAAACGGATGGATTCATGATAAATACTTGAAATACACTGTATGTTCATGTTTGAGGAGAAAATTCGGTATTATAGGAAATACCCAGGCAACCAGATGAATGATCACATCACTGTGACGTCCCCAATTGGTGATTTTTCGTCAAACACCAATTTATGACGTTAGTATGACGTACATTCTTTGACGTGATAATCACGTCATTATCTCGACGTCGAGTGAACGTCACTAAGAAGGGTAAAATCAGACGTCAGTTTCATGACGTTGCAGAGACGTCATCTACTGTCGACGTGAGCCTCTTTTCCAATGAAACACCCTGTATATCGAATCTTTCCTTTCGACCCACATTGTAGAATAATGCATGCTAATACATTCTCGCAGCTAAACTTCGAAGCACAAGAAATCTAATAACACATCCTTTCAGTTTTTGCAATCGTTTATTTTGTTACGTGGAATCCTAGTTTCTCATCACGAAAAAACTTGATTAAACAGCATGCAAATGTATTCAAATGTTTCTGCGATTTCGCTCTTTGTTGGAGAAAATCCAATCGATTAACCACTGAAAAAGCTCATTCTAGATTCAGATAACATGTGTGATTTGTTACTTTCGACCAGTATTAAATGTCCCTTTCCACACTGGGATAGAATATTCGCAACCCGCTCTTTGGAAAGATTTTTACAGATTCATGTGAGATCTGGAAGAAAATCGACGGCATATGGGAATATCAATGAATTTCGAAGTGAGATATTTTTTATCGCTTGGAGCGCACGAAAGGAAATCCCTATAATGTTCAAAGAACATCGTGCGTCCCTAGGGAGGATAGGGACAGGAGGTAGGTATTGGATTTTTTTTGAACTTTTGGAGGTTATATGTTGTTGGGAATACTTCCTCAGGCAATGAATGGTGGACGGAGTATCGTCTGATACCATTGCCATCAATTCCGGCGTTCCACAAGGATCAATTTTGGCACCAACATTGTTGTCAATAATCTTTCTAAAATAACAGCCTAGGGAACCAACAACCTAGTTGGTTTAACGCCACCAAAAGCTCAGTCTGTATTTTCTCTAGAATGGTGGAACTCAGTATGTCTGGTACCACCATTCCCATAAAGACCACTATACAGGGTGTAATTCAATTGGGGGCTGAAAATCGGGATATGGTTCCTTAGCTCATTTTGAGAAGAAATGTGCATATGCCCTAAATTTCTCAACTTTGGAGCTATAAGGTGATACAATTTTAAGAAAAAAATCCTTTTTCTTATCATAACTTCAATACTGTTCTAGATATTTCCATGTTCGACATGTACCTAATAAGCACCAATAGGCACTTTTTGATGCATGAGATTTTCGATATATTTACTATTGACGTCCGTATGGGATGTATACTGGAGATTTTTCTAAAAAAATATTGTACGCCCTTACTTTTACCAATAATGAAAATCAATTTTGAAATCCTCATCGATTTTGCAACAATTTGAGTTCTCATTTTTTTTCCTCCGATCCACCGTTTTCGCGTAAAAAAATAAAAATCATCTCCGGTAATTCAATCAGTTGACTTTATTTGGAAACTGAACAAGAGTACCTACCATTTTCAAGTAGAAATTATGATATTTTCATGTTTCCAGGTCAAACTGTCGAAAATTGCATTAACAAAAAAGTGGCCCTAAAATTTCGAAATATTCCTAGCATAAAATTTTGTCATTTTCTCAAAAAAGATTTTGAAAATATTTCAGAAAAAAACCCAAGGGGTCATTTCTGGACCCAGCATCATGTTTATATTTATTCATTGATACAATACATCCAGCAGGCCCAAATTCCCATTTACAGGTGTATACAATTAGCATTATGAATAATTATACATAAAACAGAATCAATTCTGAATGAAACAGAGAATCTCTTTCTTGAATTGTTTGAACGTTAGAACAAAAAATCTACACTAGGACACTTCTAGATATAGTAGATATGGAAGAATTAAAATAATGCACTGTATTGGAAATGACGTGCTACAAAACCTAGATGAAATACGCGGTACATTCGTACATTGAATATGAGACAATAGGGGTGCACAATCTATTTGTCCATGTATGATTTTATATGCAAAACACATATCTCGGCTCTCCCTGAATTTCTCTAGAGATATCATATGAAACTTGTCCAGCAATGAATCATAGCTATAGCTATAACCTCTCTCAGGAGACACACCATGTTTTTTGGAATATGCATATTTCAAGAATTTTTTGAGCATTTTCTAGGCTAGATATATGTTTCATATGAGACGGGTTCCAAACGACACTGCAGTACTTCAATTTGCTCCTGATCAATGTGATATAAATGGTTTTCAAGGAGTCAAAGGTCCTAAATTCCTTGCAGTTGCGTATCAAAAAACCCAAATTTTTCATTGAAGTTTATATCATATTCTGAAAGTGATTGGGAAACGTGAGTTTTTGATCAAAAAGAACCCCTAGATCCTTTGAATCCGTGATCCGCGTTAAACTTTCACCATCTAGTATATAGTTGAATGTTAGTGGTAGGATTTTACGAGTGAATGTCATTTTTTACATTTATTTGTATTTAAGTACAATTTTTTACGAATAGACCAATTAGTCAACGAATTCAAGTCCTCCTGCCTCCTGCAATGTTAAACAGTCTGCTTCACTTTGTATTTCACGATATATCTTCATGTCATCTGCAAATAGCAATAATAATGGCCCAAGATTTGACCCTTGTGGGACACCCGAACTCGCTACTAAGCAGGAGGATTTTATACGATCACATTCAACATAACTACATCGGTCGGATGAAAATGATTTCAGGAGCAACTGAATAGCAGGTGATATGCCAAAGTTAGACAATTTCATTAGCAGTTGTTGATGTGATACAAGATCAAACGCCTTACTGAAATCCGTGTAGATAACATCAAATAAATACAAAGATTAGTTGCAGTACTGCGTGCCTTGATAAAGCCATGTTGAAAAATAAACAGTGAGGAACGGACAATTTGTCTATGTAATTTTGGGACACCCTGTATAGCGTGTAGCTGAATTTCTTCTAATAAGAAATTCTCCCTCTATATATTGAGGATGGAGTTCATTTTGTCGTCAAAACTGTCACAAGTATAGCAAGTTCGTTATTATTGATGATGAGGGTTGTGTTAGTGGCGAAAGATATCCCCTGCTACTTCGTTATTCTACACCGTCCTGCACGATATCACCACAGGAAACAGGATTTATGCTAGCCGAAATGGCTGAAGAAATGAATTTTCCATGTAACTATCGGCCCTAAAAGATAGAAAAAGATTCGGAAGGCATTTTCCGGTAGTCCAGTTGGAGTGTTTTGTTTTTTTATCTCTGCTTATTTTTCCTTATACTTATATCACAGAATACTGTTTCAACAGTTCTATGTTCGTTATTTTCGTCAATGACTGAATCATATTAATTCATTTGTCAAAGTTGACAACGACACTTATAAGGTAGTAAATTCATTGTTCTGATACGATACATCTCGAGAAATATGCTTGAGAATGATGAAAATATGCTTGAAAAAAATCTCAAAAATTTTCCATCGAATTGGGAGTATGGAGAATTTTTCAATATCTTGCAGAGGTTTGTTTGTCACCCTGTATAGCCAGAGGTTACCATGCATTTCCATCAGCGCTTTATCTGTCATATACCCAATGGATCAATCTTCAGAATAAAGAAAACCGCATCCAAATAAGTGGAATTTTCGCGAAAATATTCAATGTTGAATTTAGAGCAAAAATGTGCTTGATGCGGTTCGATTGATCAGCAGTTTAGAATGATTGAAATGTATTCTAGAAACAATGTGTTTACCTAGTTCACAACAATAAATCGTCATATGCCAAAACAACACTTCAAGAATCCCTATTCCATCGACGAGCTTAACTAAAATGTCATTGATTTATAATGCTGTCAAATTATATAACCATCTACCAGTCGATTTCTATCTCTGTTATTATTTTCGATAGACCCCATCGATGAAATCAGCTCTTCAGGGAGAATCCAAAAATGCGATGAAATACAGGGTGTTCCATATGAAATATCAATGTTGCTACTACTTTCTAGTAGAAGCGACAACACTGCATTATCGAAAATAACTCAAATGAAGAGAGCATATTCTGAAATATAAGCATGCACATTTTCATGTATTCCTCCTGAGATGTAACACTATACCCTCACAAAAAAAATTAACACTCATGTCTAATTTGAATTCATTGTTTTCATTGGACTTTAAATTAAGATTGGGATTTGGGAATAAGAGGTTTCTTTATTCATATTGCGATACACACCCTATTCATCATGGCTCATACATTATGACAAATATTTGGTAATCTGTTATATACAGGGTGTTTCATTACTAATTGGAAATATTTCAACCATAAAATCCCGAACTCAAAATATGAAGATTTAACCCAAATCACCTAGATAAAATATGTCTCCTGTCTGAGTTACAGGGTGTTTTATTCAAAGATTTCGAAATGTTTTTTGCCCAGTTCTTCGAAACTATTCAACGTAAAACTTTCATATTTGGAAGGAAGTGTAGGTATTATACATCCAACTGAATTATGTGAAATTAACTCTTCTAGCTATTACCAGAAGCGTACGACAGGGGCAAGTGACTGGTTGATCCTTCCCAAATTCTACGCCACTGGCGGAACTGCAATTTAATCAGAATTTTTCAATTCTTCAATACCTTCTTCGTAAATATTGTACTCCTTTTTCATAGCGATAAAGTCATTTGTTTTCGAGATATTTCAAGTTAAACATAAAGCAGCACAATTATTTTGATTTCAATGTGTATCAATAATGTCGATATTTTGGATCAATGGACTGCATTCATCAATCAAATGAAACTTCAATTTATATTTACATAAAAACATAACAGACGGGAGCTGTTACAGGGCGTTTGAAATTTTTTAATATATTACATAATTAAACACCCTGTAACAGCTCCTGTCTGTTATGTATTTATGTGTTCATTGTTTATATGGATTAAATTTTCATTATATTGATGAATACAATAAATTCATTGATCCCAAATATTGACAAAATTAATGCACATTGAAATCAAAATGATTGTGCAGATTTATGTTCAACTTGAAATATCTCGAAAAATAATGACTTTATCACCATGGAGAAAGAGTACAATATCTACGTCAAAATTGTTGGAGAACCGAAAATGTGTGATAGAATCGCAATTCCCCCAGTGGTGTAGAATTTGGGAAGGATCAACCAGTCACTTGCCCCTGTCGTACGCCTCTGGTAATATCTAGAAAAGTTAATTTCACATAATTCAGTTGGATGTATAATACCTACACTTCCCTCCAAATATAAAAGTGATACGTGAAATAGTTTTGAAGAACTGGGCAAAAAACATTTCAAAATTTTTGAATAAAACATCCTGTAACTCAGACAGGAGACGAATTTTATCTAGATGATTTGGGTTGAATCTTCATATTTTGAGTTCGGGATTTTATGGTTGAAATATTTCCAATTGGTAATGAAACACCCCATACAACACGGGATATCCTATGGACGTCCAAATCATGTCCAATTCATGTCGGGATATCCTTGGACCTTTTTGGATATCCATAGGATATCCAAAATTCACCCGCGCGGATATAATCAATGTAATAAATTGTGAATATGAATTAAATTGATGAAAATTCAAATCTATGTGTGTACATAGTTATATTACTAGGAAATATATGATATATCGAATATGGAATTTTTCAACGTCTTCTTGGATATCCAATGGATATCCATGGGATATCCTGTATTGGAGCATTGAACCACGTCGTTGAACAATAACGCCCAGAATAACATAGAGATGTCGACAAAGTCGGCAGTGTCGGATTCACCAAACATATTTTGGATGTCCATGTGGGTCCCATATATAACAACTATATGGGTAACGTCCTATCCTTTCCTTGTTCAAAATTGAAGCCAGTTTTGAGAAACAAATGACAGTCTGCGAGACAATGAATAATCATACGTTCACTCGCCAGCTAACAGATGCGCATAGAACAGAGTAGAACTGATATCCTATATGAACACCCATGAAAACATAAGGGATATCTTATGGACGTCCATGAAGGATATCGTATGGACGTTCCTGAACGATGTTCTATGGACGTCATTGAAGGATATTTTATGGACGTCCGTGAAGGATATCCTATGGACGTACAAGTTGGTGGCCTCAGGACATCCATTGGACGTCCATGGGATATCCATTGGACGTTATTTGGATGTCCATTGGATATCCAAAATATCCTGAATGGATATCCTATGGACATCCATCGGATGTCCATGTGTTGTATGGGACCCTATATAAAACTTTTCTTGGCCTTACCTATGGTTGTGAGTACAGTAGATGAGAAAAAAACTGCCTTTAGGGTGGTCCATTTCTCTAAATCTCCCTCATCGGGAAATCTTGGAATTCCTGCCTTGAAGCTTTCCTGGAGCAGTTTCTCATATTCCACGAGTTCATTGGAAATCAAATAGTCTGATTTCGACTCGTCTGTTCCATTCGTGATGAAATCTATCAAGTATTGACGCTTTTCTGACAGACTGGCGTTGAAGTACCTGATTCTTGATAGTTCAGCAGGATATTCAAAACGACGAAAAACCTGTGAAAATAACAGTTCGTTGATAGTAGATGGAATACCACTCGTATACTACGGAAACTAGCTACCTACCTTTATATTATGTTGCATCACGATATAGGTATATACAGGGTGCCCGTTTTTCGAGCTCCACCATGGGGAACTCAGTTATTACAAGTGAGGTACGTAGTTTTTGAAAGGTATCAGATTAGTATAGATGTAGTTTTCATTAGGTATTAGATTAGTATAGAGGTCAGATAATTTATATGACGCTATAAAAGCAGATGATATTTTATCATTGCTCATGTAAGATGGAAGTAGAGGCCATGGCACCATATCATGAGCATATTTTCATATTGAAACTATCATTGGGCACCAAAGATGTGTATACGATGCTATGAAAGTTCAGAGAACTGGTGATTTTTCACAAACTACGTACTTAGCCTACTCGACTGATGTCTTGGTTTTTCCACACAAACTACGTACCTAGCCCACTCGACTGCCAATAGGGACTGAAAAAACGGAAACAAAAGAAAGTTAAAAGTTTGCCAATATATTTCTTCTTAGTGGGAAATCAAGACAGTCGAGTGAGCAAGGTACGTAGTTCATGGGCAAAAAATTAAGACAGTCGAGTGTGCTTTTTTTAGTTTTGAATTCAGAGAAAAATGTTATGGAGATTTTTTGTAGATTCTATCAAATGGAATAATTTTAGTTCTATAACATTTTCAGATATTTCTAGTTGTTTTCAAGATATTTGGAATCATCTGAGAATAAAATTTTCAACACTTTCGTTCCATCTTCCAATCAACAAAAGGAAGAAATATTTTATGGTTCCGTGGAAGTAGATGATCTTCATCTATCGATAATCTTTGTTTTTCAATTTATCTTCATGGGTCGTTCAATTTTTTTTTCATATTTTTTACTTCATTTCCAGTACTATTGGGTTTACAGAAAAAATTTTGGGTAATAATTTGTAGGAAATGTTCCAGTGGATAACTTTGCACTTTTGATAATTTTCGATTTTTCCATTTGTTTTCGATATATATTGAATTGAAAGGATTTCAAATTTTGATGTTTTGATTTTCATTTGTATTTCCATTTTCCGATGGATGCACGAAAAAATGGTAAAATAATAATTTTTTGCGTCATCAAAGAGGCATACGGTGCATTTTTCAAATTTGTATTTAGTCTATTGGTTCAGGAGATATGTCGTTTTAAAGCGAACCGTGTGTTTCGGGAAATCTCCTTGAAAAACCCACTTGGAATTTCCCGACTCTGCTCAATTTCAATAGGCTTCGTCTCTCCCTGATAGAGTTTTTTTTCACAAAAAATGAAATCGATCTGACCACTTTTGCGATTTGTAGAGTGGTCACAAGAAACTTCCGGTGAAAAATCGAAAAAACCCGGAAAAAACACCTTAGAGTTTTCCGATTTCCTTCATATTTTAATGACATAATATTGGTATGAGTACAATAAGATGACAAAATTTCAAGTCGATATGTCAAAGGAATTCAGAGATATATCGATTTATGATTACCACAGAGTACAGACAGACAGACAGACAGACAGACAGACAGACAGACAGACAGACAGACAGACAGACAGACAGACAGACAGACAGACAGACAGACAGACAGACAGACAGACAGACAGACAGACAGACAGACAGACAGACAGACAGACAGACAGACAGACAGACAGACAGACAGACAGACAGACAGACAGACAGACAGACAGACAGACAGACAGACAGACAGACAGACAGACAGACAGACAGACAGACAGACAGACAGACAGACAGACAGACAGACAGACAGACAGACAGACAGACAGACAGACAGACAGACAGACAGACAGACAGACAGACAGACAGACAGACAGACAGACAGACAGACAGACAGACAGACAGACAGACAGACAGACAGACAGACAGACAGACAGACAGACAGACAGACAGACAGACAGACAGACAGACAGACAGACAGACAGACAGACAGACAGACAGACAGACAGACAGACAGACAGACAGACAGACAGACAGACAGACAGACAGACAGACAGACAGACAGACAGACAGACAGACAGACAGACAGACAAACAGACAGACAGACAGACAGACAGACAGACAGACAGACAGACAGACAGACAGACAGACAGACAGACAGACAGACAGACAGACAGACAGACAGACAGACAGACAGACAGACAGACAGACAGACAGACAGACAGACAGACAGACAGACAGACAGACAGACCACACACAAAAACCACAGTTGCTCAAAATTCGATGGGGATCATTTTCTCCAAAGTAACTATACCTCTATCTCGCTTAGTTTCCGAGATAGCATTTTTGGCAAGGCCGTAGTATACTCCACTATAGGTATAGCGTCGTATAATAAGAGATACGAGGTCGGTTAAATTAGGGCAAAGTTGCGCATTTTCATGCTGAACATTTCGCACGTTGAGAACAATAGTGTGACAACTCAAAAAAGTTGATTTTTGAGTTAGAACCACCGTCGAATAGCAAATTTCGAGCTCTACACTTCTAGATTATCGTGACATCTCTAGGTCCAATAGCTGTTGCGTGACATCGCTGGTCACGTTATTGCACTAGAGGAGAAGGAGGAACTACAGCCGAGCAAGAAAGTGACTTTCTGCGTTGTCACCTATACTTCGCAGGATACGCCTCGTATTCTGACTTTGAGAAAATTTTTATGATAAATAATGTGACAAGTCATAAAGTCACCTTATTGATTGAACACAATTTGAAATTTTTTGAGTTGTCACGTTATTACATTTTCATCATTAAATGAAATAACGAATTAAATGCAACAAATTTTTGAATTGTAACGATAACAATATGGAATATTTCGATTTATCACATTATTGCATGCGTTTCACTGGAATGGAGTAGATAATACGAGTTTTTGCAGAGAGATTGAAATAATAGCAACAAGGTGATAGCCCTTAAAAATAAAAAGGAGAAATACAAAACTAGAATGAAACTTCCGAATCTATGTATAATTTAAATATTTCTCTTTGCATGGAATATCAAGCTCCACCTCATGTTTAAATTCCAAATTTGAAAAATATATTATAATTCCTTCGGATTGAACATTTGGAAAAAAGGGTGTTTGAAAGAATTCCCAAGAATAGCTTCGAATTTGAATTTCATTTATTATAGATATTTCCTTCTTTCAGTAAATTTAACTACACCTCAGTAGTGCCAGTCACTTCTCTTCCCAAACTATAGCATTTCAACTTCATGCGAATTTTCAATGAATCTTAATGCTATTCACCTCAACATTTTTCTTCTGCAAATACCCGTTTGTTTCTATTCAGGAACTGAAGAACATAGAAAAACTGCCAAAAGAGGAATGTTCAGCAACCGAAGGACACGATTTGGATGAACTCAGAGCACATCTTCAATAAATCCAGTCATGAATATAATAGGGTCTACAAATGAATGAAAATACCTATAATACATGTTATACGGCAATTTTTGGAAATGTAACATCTCAGACAATTATTGGTGCTCTTCATGCGTGACATCACTTAAAATTGTCAAATATGATGGATCAAAACTGTGACATGTCGAAACTTGAGAAATTGGAAAAAAATATTCGGAAATATTATAACTAGAAATTTCTCATCATCAAGAAGTGAAAATCTTCAAAGTCGATTTTCTCAAAACGAAGAATTTTGAATTATCACACTATCGTTCTCAACATGCGATTTTTCTGCAAGAAAATTCGAAGTGTCAATTTCAGTTTTTGAATTATTTGAAGAAAACGAAAATGTGTAATGTGTCAATGTCAGTCAGAAATGTCTAGGATTTTCCGCTTGAAAAAATAAAAACGAAATTTATAAATTTTCGTCTTCTTCCAATAATTCGAAAACTAAAAATGACATATTGAATTTTCTAATTTGACCGACCTCGTATCTCTCATAATAACTGAGATCCCCATGGTGGAGCTCGAAAAACGGACACCCTGTATAGGTGAATGTTATACATGTCAACAATTTTCACATATTTATATTTCTCATACCTCATACGATTTCAGTGAAATCATTTTCCTTTAACAAGGGCTGAATGAGATATCAGAAATTGTTCCTATTGGAAACAAGGAAAGAGATTAAAAAAACTGAAAACTTATCATTGCACAGGAAATAATTTGTGTTCAAGGATATTGATCCCACAAAAAAGAATACTTTGGTTTATTAGGTATTGTATGACAATCAGGAAATTGTTACACTATTTTTGGGGTGGGTTTATTATCTGATTCGGTTCCTGTATAACTCACAAGTCCAGTTGAATGCCCCATATTTTTTTCAATTCCTAGTAATGGTTTCATTATCAAAATAAATCAGATAAAAAATATTTGTTCTCATTGATATAATTGAATTTCATTAGCATTCCACGCTTTCGTCCAGCTTAAAGGTGTTCAATGATTGTCAATGGTGAAATAAATATTTTCATTAGCCCTGAGTACCATCGCTTGTTTTTACGATAGCTGCGAACAGCGAAGGTTTTATAAACTGTTTAACTTACGGAAATTTATTTTGGAATATGAGAAAAAGAGTTCCCCTTTCATCGCAAATAGCCGTTCTCGTTTCAAAAGCTCATAAAAGTTATTATATCCTGTGTATGAGCCGAGTGCCGAAATGTATTTTTAATAGCAAATCAAATAAGCAGTGAGATTTATATTACCTTAATAAATAGAAAAAAAAAACGGAAAGTTTCCGATTACAAAATCTTTGAAATGATTCTAACATGGAAACATTACAGTGTGACCAAGGTAAGGAACATCACACCTCAAACTGAAAAACAAATCCTCATGGGGACATGACGACGAAGTCCCTATGTTTCTCTTGAAAAAATCCCTACCATTTTTCCTCTAACAAATATTGTCAATTTATATTTTTCAACCGGAATATTTCCAGACCATCTGAAGATTGGTAAACTGGTTCCCATTCATACGATTCACGCGCAATTCACGGTTTGTAAAGAATTATCGACCAATTATACAGTACCCTCTAGCTTTTCGGAAATTCAAAGAAAAAAACACAAAAAACAATTGGTATTCTTTTGAACCGACTGAAAAGCCAAAAGAACCTAATAATGATTAGATTCAACATTGGCAGAAATTGGAAAAAAACAGCAGTTAATTCACTCACATGAGTTTCATCTTAAAATTTTTTCACCGGACTGAATTTTGGCCAAATGACCTTGCAATTCATATTTCAATTAAATCAATTATGTGATTCCACGTGCCCTTTTATAGGTATGTTTTTCCTCAATATGTCATTTTATTCTTGTAAACCAATATCTTCACAGGTACTTTATATACTGTGTCTGAAGATGGCTGCTTGAGCCGAAACTAGTCACAAAAAATCTTTTTGTAATTAAACTTTGTGGTCGACCGACTTAGCGTTTGTGTTTTTTCCTTTGAAAAAATCTGGACCACTTTGAGAAGATGGATGGTTTCCATGACTTTTCGAAAATTGTTTAGTATGCTTTCCTCAATAGATTATTATCATTCTGTAATAAATTCAAAATCTTCTCCAATAACCAGCATGGATTCCTAGATAAAAAATCAACGATTACAGCAGTTGACTCATATTACGAGGAGCTAGTGAAATTGGTTGATACTGGTGAATGCCCTGTTGGGATTTTTTTGTGACCTCAGCAGGACTGTGTCAACCATGATATTTTACTGAACAAACTGCAGAGATACGGAATACGGGGTATTCCTCACCATTGGCTGCAAAGCTTCCTCAATTCAAGGAGCCAGTATGTTTCTATTGACCATACTATCTCTTCAAAACGAGCAGTCACAATTGGAGTACCTCAAGGCTCAGTTTTGAAGCCTGTCCTTTTCATATTATACTTGAATGATTTGGATGACATACCAGTCCATGCTTCTCTCACTATGTATGCGGATGATACGTCGCTGATCATCTCAGATAAATCAGACAGTCTACTATCACATAAATTTCAAGAGACTTTTTCGATCGTGAAAGATAAAACAAAATCAATGAGATTCCATGATCGTCAGAAAACCTGTATCGATGTGAACATATCTACAGATAATCACTGTGTAAACATTGTTCAAGAAGTCAAGTTCCTAGGGCTGGTCGTGGATGAGTGTCTTACATGGAATAATCATTGCCGACTACTACAATCCAAATTGAATTCTTACTCATATCAGTACAGGAATCTCAAACCATTACTTAACTGTGACCTCCTGAAATTTCATTATGCCCAAATAGAGTCTAGACTAAGATACTGAGTACGCTTCTGGGGCCAATCAGTTTATCCTTTATTTTCTATGTGTAGAATTTCGAAATTATCATCATCGATTTATTTAACTTATCTAATTTTAATATCTAATTCACCTATAATGACGAATCCAACATAATTTTCAATTGTCAGATGAAAAATAAAGATATTATTATTATTATTATTATTGAAGTTGCACAGCACAGGAATCTCGGAACCTTGTAGGAAATACGAATTTCAATAGCCTCTGAAAATTATCACTTGTAATACGACTAAAGGTCAAATTATTTCCGAGAACTTTTTCGGGCTCATGGATATTTTGAAAATTATTCCGAGTCGAAGAATGTCATAAAACAGATTGCAGTCAACAACGGATACAACGTTAATTTGATAGACAGTATTCTTTCTGAAAAACTTCATAATGAAGCTATTCGATGAGTATATTTTACCATCAAGAATAATAATCAAAATTATAGTACTTTAACCTATTTCGGATGATCAATCAGAGCTATCAAATGACTCACGGAAAAAGTGAGGATATAAATCTGAATTCAGAAAAAAAGTCTCAATTCAGAGAAAAAAATCTAAATTCAGACTTCAGAGAAGAATTTTGAATTCAGAGAAAAAATTCTGAATTTTACGAAAGCGTAGAGATGCCACTGTTGTGTGTATTATATTTTATTTCTTTATTCAGACTTCAAAGTCTGAATTCAGACTTTTTTCTCTGAATTCAGACTTTTTTCTCGAATTCAGACTTTTGCCTGATTTCATACTTCTTCTCTCTGAAATCAGAATTTTGAAGAGTTTTTATTTTTTTTATTTTATGTGTCCCTTCCAGGCCTTCGTAGTTATTACATTCAAACGGATGGCGCGTTATAAATAAATGTTTAATTTTTGAATTCATATTTTCGACTCACTTCCTCACCACTGAGTAACCGGCGATCCCTGGCCACAGAATTAGACAATCGGTGGTTTTAAGTTATTTCGAAACCCTCTATATATATTTGATTTGATTGAATTTGAAAATTCGATACCTTTCAAGATCATATTTACATTTATCACATTAATATGAAAAAAAAACCGTTTCAAGAAGTCTGAATTCGGAGAAATAAGTCTGAATTCAGAAAAAAAAGTTTAAATTCAGAGAAAGAAGTGAATTCAGAGAAAAAAGTCTGAATTCAGAGGAAAAAAGTCTGAATTCATAGAAAAAAGTCTGAATTCAGACTTTGAAGTCTGAACAAAGAAATAAAATAAATTACACACAACAGTAGCCTTTCTACGCTTTCGTAGAATTCAGGTAAGAAAGTTTGAATTTAGAGAGAAAAGTCTGAATTCAGAGAAAAAAGTCTGAATTCATAGAAAAAAGTCTGAATTCAGACTTTGAAGTCTGAACAAAGACATAAAATAAAGTACACACAACAGTGGCCTTTCTACGCTTTCGACGAATTCACATAAGAAAGTTTGAATTTAGAGAAAAAAGTCTGAATTCAGAGAAAAAAGTCTGAATCCATAGAAAAAAGTCTGAATTCAGACTTTGAAGTCTGAACAATGAAATAAAATAAATTACACACAACAGTGGCCTTTCTACGCTTTCGTAGAATTCAGATAAGAAAGTTTGAATTTAGAGAAAAAAGTCTGAATTCATAGAAAAAAGTCTGAATTCATAGAAAAAAGTCTGAATTCAGACTTTGACGTCTGAATAAAGAAATAAAATAAATTACACACAACAGTGGCCATTCTATACGGTTTCTTGCTTTCGTACAGACTTACCAGACCTCCCGCCAAAGTGTAGGCCATGAGCGTGACCAGCAGTCCGATGTGTTGGAGGGCATTTTTCAGTCGGAGCCGCTTCCACCAATTCCTCACTCGCGATTTAAAGTCCATCGTCGAACTGATGCGGACGTGAGTGCGGGTTTGGACCAAATTCTCCATTATTTCCTCTCGCATGTATTTAAATTTAGAAGCACTTCGAATTTTAAACAAAAGTCGTTAAAACAAATAATCACGGGCTTTTTCGACGATTGATGCCGCCGGTGTCATTGTTTTTCAAAACAGACAGGAATGTATCTGCATTCTTTAACCTGTTGCTTCTGTTCCAGTATTCGGTGGATCAGCAGTTCTAGAAATAAAAATCATTCCGGATCTCTCGTACCAGTGGTACTTGATATGTTTACGGAAACGTAGAATTGCATGTCAGGAGTTTCATGATTTTTAGTACATATAAATTCTGACTTCTCAAAATTTCTATTCCTCAAAATTTCGACTCTTTTTCGAAAATTTTACCCATATGTCGAAATTTCGACCTTTACATCGGAATTTCGAGACACTTATTCAATATTGCAAAAGTCATCTATCTAGATTTTGGATTCTTTTAGCCAAATTATCCCTAATAGCACACTGAAGTCACATGGATATCCATAGGATGTTCCACTGGAGCATTCAAGACGTCTATAAGGCATCCATTGTACGTCTGTGGGAAGTACAAATGACCCGACTTCTCACCAAAAAAAGGATATCCCTCAAAGATATACAGTGGACCTCTCTGGGAAATCATGCAATGGACGTCCTTTGAAAAAGTTGATAAAACATTCTGTTTTTATACCGAGGTCATTTATAGAACATCCTCCGAAACGTCCTCTGCAAAGTCCATAAGACGTTTCCTGGAACGATCATAGGACGTCCCTGGAACTTCCATGAGATGTCGTCTGGAATGTTCATAGGATGCCCCAGGGACGTACGAATTATTCTTGAATTTGAATTTATTCTGGTCTCCCTTGGACCAGATCTTGCATAACTGATGAGGACATCCATAGTTGAGTTGATAGTTGATGATCAGTAGAAGAGGTTCCCAATAGATCCTGAAGAAGGTTCCCAAGGATGTCCAATGGACTTGCGTAAAGGACATTGACGGGAAATATTTATAGCCTATGAGAAGTCGATCGTCGACGAGGTGTAAGTAAACGTCCTCGCAGGGACAACATATTTAACGTTCCAACTGCGACGTTCCTTGGACGTTATTTCTAGGACATTGTATGAAAAAATGATCATTCGCTTGCGTGGAGGACCTTTATATCGAATCCAAATCGTCTACAGAATATTCTGAGGACGTCCTTGGAACGTTCATAAGACGTTGTACTCGTGACATTTTATGAAATTATATTTCATGAAGAATATTCTTGTACTTATTACTTAGATGAACATATTTATGTATTATCTATAGGAGTTCCTTCCGTAGTCATAACAGCTCATGTACCTATTGGGACATCCGACGGATGTCCCTAAGAGACATTTATACGATCGTAGAAATATTAAGGGCGTCCGTGCAGAGATATTTGGAAAAATTTACTGTCTGAGTTATTTCATAGTTGTTCTAGAAGGGACATTATATAAGATCTAAAGTCATGCCAAAAAATATACTACTTAGGATATCCTATAGTCCCTAAAGAAATGGACGTCCTTGCATCGACATTCTACAATATGTAGCACGTGGGACGTCTAAAGGATACTATTTTTAGGACATTCAGAATGACGTACTAGCTCGGACATTCCATGGACGTCTTTGCTCGGATATTGCATGAGACGTACGGGATGGGACGTCCCAAGGACACTTATTTTATGTCCGGGATATTGCTGCCACTGATGAAGAAAAATCAAATGGTAGTCCACTAGAGAGCAGTGAAATTACTTTACACTCGTTCACCTACTTTTACGCCCGCCAGAGTACTTTTACGAACGCTGTACCCTTTCATCGCCCTAGGGTGCTAAAGTATAGGGCGCCAAAGTGCATAAATATTTTATAATGGGTGTTATTTGTTTACTGTCAACTCTCAGCAGTCATTTACCAGCTTCAAGAAATCTTCGTTAGTATCCAATAGAATTCATTTGAATTCATTTCACAATTTTGACAAGAACAAGTCCACGAAAAGTGGAATATTGATAAGGAATAATTTCATCCTAAAAATCAAAAATCTTGTTCGGAAAAGATCATTCGAAATTTGTTCGATTATACTTTTGATTTTACAGACAAAATACATACCTATATTCGAATAAAATGATACACACAATAACATTTATTCGACATCGTTTTAGCGCAATTATTTCTATTATTTCCGCGAATTATTAATAATAATAATAATAATAATAGGCTTTATTCATCATTCTGTAAAAAAAAAAAACATGTTATGAAACATAGAATAAATAATACATGAATGACGAATGGGCGAGGTTCAGCTGATGAAGCTGTTTTTAAACCTAACCTTCAAATACATATATTATATATATAGTATTGACAAACAAAGAAAAATAATATAATTCATGTACATATACTATAAAACTAAATATTCCAACATTAAAGAATTTATTTAATTTTTTAAATATTTATCAAATATTATGTTTGAAAACATTTTTTTTTCTTTCAAATTCTTTGTATACTGAACCTTGGAATGTAGAGACACAATTAATCATGAATATAATTTGAAAATGCTGGTATATTAGGGGAAAATTATTATAGAACAATTTACAAAATTAGAAGAAATGTTCAGCATAAAAACACATTTAATTTGTGGTGTTCCTCAAGGAACTGTTCTAGGTCCTATTCTTTTCATTATTTATATCAATGACTTACTAAAAACAAATATTGAAGGATATATTTTCTCATATGCTGATGATACAATGATAATTGTCAATGGAAACACTTGGTCAGAATCAATCATGAATGCTGAAAAAGCTATAGCAATAGTTAAAAATAATCTAGATTTTGACTTATTAACTTTAAATTTGAATAAAACAAAATTCATGACTTTCTCCTGTTATGAAGACTCACAACCAAAAAATATAACAGAGTTGACAATTCATGATATAAACTGTTTCAAAAATATATCCAAAGAATCAAAAATGAATTGTTCATGTACCCACAAAATAAATAAAGTTGCTTTTATTAAATATCTTGGAATTTATATTGATCAACATTTAAAGTGGAATCATCACGTTTCAGAAATTACTAAGAAGCTCAGAAGTACTCTTCCAAAATTCAGATTTTTACGAAATATTGTTAATAGAAATTTAATCATAATGTTATATCATGTACTTTTTCAATCTATTCTGTCATATGGAATCATTGGATGGGGTGGTATGTATGAGACTCATCTCAAACCATTATTAAGTATTCAAAAATATGTTTTGAAAATAATTTTTCGCAAACCTTTGGATTATCCATCATCCTCATTATTCGTAGATAATCATATACTGAATGTCAAACAATTATTTTATAAAGCATCATTGAATTTCTTGAAAAAAAACACTGCATTTAGTAATAAAATTAGTCACAATTATTGTACAAGAAATGATAATGTTCAACTTGAAAAACATAATCTCAAAATCATGCAAAACCATAGTAGTTTTATTGGGTCAAAAATTTTTAACAGAGTTCCATCAAAATTGAGACGTTTGAATATTGTAACATTCAAAAAAAAAATTAAAATTTGGTTTTTGGATAATGCAAAAGAAATTGATAATCTCTTCAAATAATTTTTTTTTTTTTTTTGTGCTTTGTATATATTGAATTTATAATCAATATTTAATCTAAATATTTTTAAGAACTTTTTTTATAAAAAGTTTATAATAATTATCTAATTCACACACAGGTCAATAACCTATGTGAAGTAGATAAAATTTAGAATTTTTATAATATTAAAATATGTATGTCTTTGTAAATGTATTCATATGAGAATAAATAAATAAATAAATAAATAATAAATAATGCGATTGGGGAGACATTATACAGTGTGTCCACTTCCGATGGATGGATACACCTTTAAATCTATTATTCCATTTGGTCATTTAGTGTCTCTTTAGTCAGCTTTTTCGCACCTTCAAATAACAGAATTGCACTAATTAGTAAATATACAAAAAAAGTGTATTCATCAGAAGTTATACACACTGTATAGGGACTTCCCAACCGAATTCAGCCTGTATAATAATATTGTCTTAATGTATTAAAAAAATAATACATAATCGATTTATCATGGAAAGTATTCGAAAAATAGAATGTCAACTAGAATTATCGTATCTTTCCATTTAAATTGATGTATTTCAATTGTAAAATCAAAAGGAATCGAGAAAATCGCGAAAACCAATTTGGAGCAACATTTTGAGGTTTAAATTGCTGCCAAATGTCTGACGTAGCCTCCCACCTTAGGCACTTTTGAGACATGACATACAAAAAAACCACATCAATACCTTGAGGCACAATTTTTCAACAATATCAGTGTACTTTATTGAAAAATAATATTGATGGTTTTTGTACCATTCCAAACTTGTTGGAATCATAGGAATATAATTATTATATTTAATATGAGGTCCCATTCGGAGAAAGAGAGACACGAAGTTCATCAGCAGCAAATTAACATCAGGTGAAAAAAATGTAAAACTAAGATTCTCCTGACCTACCACAATTTCATCACCGAATATGCACACATTTTCCCTAACTTTTTCGGTATAAGCGCTTCACGCTAATGTAACACAAAATAATGAACCCAAAACCCATGATCGTATAAGATCGCTCGCGCCGTAGTCACGTAAAAAGAAATACCAAACTATTTGATTCAACTTTTAGCGTCGCGATGCCGATGCCAATTCGCATTTGGCGTCGCGACGGCCTTCCTCCGGGCGCCGAAGACGAGTGGCCGGCAGATGCGCGTCGAAATAATAGCGAAAAGTTGCTTTTCGTCGAAGGTCGCACGAGAAAATGGCCAATAACTCTATACGGCAAACGTATAGGCATAAAACAGTACCTAATAAATTTCAATTATTCCATGCAGAGAGAATGAAAAAGTTATACATACATGGGCGTCGCCACTGTCAAAGCAAGGGGGGCGTTTTCCCTCCCCCAGAATTGAGTAAGGATGGAACTATATATAACTGTTTCACAAACACTTTAGAGTGAAAGGAGACGCGAGGATCTGTCCGTACCCTTTTGACTTCAATGTCAATTTCCATCAAGGGATTCTAGTAATCAAATATCTGTCAGTCTAATCGTTACCACCGATAAAACAAGCGCTTATAGCGCTATAAGGCGACCGCGTATTTCGATTTTAGTTTTAGATCATTATTGAGCCGATTTTGCTTTTTTTTTAAGGATTTCCGGTTGAAAGAGGATGTCAGCCGTCAACTGAGCCCTTCTTCGCATCCCATTCGATTTTATTATGGAAAAACGAAGTTTCAAAGCAAAAACCAGAATAAAACACAAATACTCACCTACAGCAACCCATTCGAATTGAATATATTGGCAAAAATTGTAGTGATTCAATCTCATTAGAGGTAAACTTCACACCTACTTATACAGGGCCCGCAGAACATAAACTTATCATGAGATTGATCGAAAGAAAATTGGGGAAAATGTATTTTAGTTTGATAGACATGCCGTTTGTTATACCTAATTACCTATATTTATCTTGGAGAATTCCTATTACCTAAAAAATTAGCCAGTGAGTGTTTTCAATTTCCTGTTGTTGGATTTTTTACCCAATTGGTCGTTAGACTTGAAACAGTAATTTTTAAGTAGAAAGTTTGTAGTACATGTTAATATAGGTAATAGTTGCAATTTGATCATTGGAATGAATTCTGCATTCATTGCCACGAGGCAAATGACCGTTTTCAGAAAGAAATTTGAGAATGTATTGAGTCAGAAACCAAAGAGTCCAATGCATTCGAAATATGTTTCAAAACCCTCTTTTTCTGATTATCAGGACATTTTCCCGAATTATGTATCTCGTTTTTATCAATTTCAATTAGTAATTCCTTGATTTGATTGATATTATTAGAGATAAAAGGTGTTTTCAGATTGGCTTTTAGAGATGTTTGTATCGCTAGGTCATACAAAAATGATTCCACATTCAAAACAAAATCAATCACAACCGAATATGTAATTACGGGCCCTGGAGACAAGTTGAATAATGTGACTTTTTGCAAATCGATAATTTTGAACCACTTTTCGGGCAACTGAAAAGACTCTAATACAACTAGAAATTCTTGAAATTCTGTGTAGCAAAATGATTTTTGCTAATTTTCGAATTCAGTTTTACTTTTGGTAAGTGCTTGTGCCAAATTTTTAGTCTCTAGTATCCCAAGTTTTTCAGCACGACTTGTGCGTAATTTTACATATTTCGATAAATAAGATGGACAGTTGGGAAATTGAGTGGGAATAACATCTCGTTTGAGCCTGGGAATTTTCAATTCTATTGTTACAGTTTTGCCAGTTTTTGAATCGGTTGCAGTAGATGAAGTAATAATATCATCTTTAGTAAAATGTAATTCACATACTTTACTGTACTTAGATGGAGTCGTAAAATCCTTGCGGTGAATTGCATGTACCCACTTTTTCGATAGTTCCTTGTCCAACGGGAAACTAAAAACATGAACTTTTGGACCACCCACATAATTCCCCCGACAAAAGGGAACACAACACTTGTAAGGCATTGTTATTTCGCCTATCACAACATGAAATATTTCACAAAACAGTAATTTCTCCGCCAATTATTGTGATGAATAAACAACAAGAGAATTCGAGGCACACGCGATTTACCTACGCCACCGTTATTAAACAAAAACAAACTGACGATCGATCGACGCGAATGCCTTGGAAGATTGCCTGAGTATGCGACGTCACGAGCTGTTTACGTCAGAATCTGCTGGCCTTGTTTTATCGGTGGTAACGGTCTAATTCTGTGATTTGAATTTGAAAAAATGCGACCTTAGTGGTTGTTCATTAGTTATTCATGTAACCGCGAAGTGAAATAGAAGATAAATTGACTTGCAGTTCTTTCACTTCATTCTCGGAGACCGTGTTATCGGATTAAAGAAGATCCGGCAATTATCGCCTCCAAGTTCAATGATTTTTTGTTAAGGCTCCTATCGAATTAGTTAAACAGATACCTCCAAGTGATGATGGGGTATTTGAGAATGAAAATGATTTCAACCCTTACACAATGTTTTTGAACCTATTTACGGAACATGAATTACTCTCATTGTTAAAAAACAAACTAAAGAATAAAAAATCGTCTGGTCCAGATGACATACCGATGTTTATATTGAAAAGAGTTCTTCCTTTGATAATATTACCATTAACACATCTGGTAAATACGTCATTTGTGAGAGGTGATTTTCCACACAAGTTAAAAACTCGTAAAGTCACTCCTATGTTCAAAAAGAAAGACACAACCCTTGTGGAAAATTATCGTCCTGTAACAGTCCCTTGTGGACTCTCGAAAGTTTCCGAATATGCCTTTTTGGAACGTCTTAATTCGTTTCTTGATAAACATTCTGTCTTGAGTAATAGGCAGCATGGATTTCGTTCTGAAAAATCTACGAACACAGCTATGTCACAGTACTCTACTGTGGCTATGTTCTCATTACTGAACAAAACCATAGTGACCATAGAATACGTTGATTGAATGGTGAATGTCCAGCGGCAATTCTTTGTGATGTTAGTCGACCTTTCGACTGTGTCAACCATCAAAAACTGAGGTCGAAATTAGAAATATATGGAATAAGAGACGTATGTCCTAGTTGGTTCTCGTCATTTCTTCACTATCGAAAGCAATTTGTTTCTTCACACGTAAAGCACATTGATGACTGGCGAGGGGCAAGGGGGGTTGGGTATTTTGGCTGGTTCAAGATTCAGAATTCTGATCACCCTGTATCTGTTCCGATTGAATATCAGTAAATAGTAAATGAAAAGTTGAGATAGGGACGTGTGAGCCGTTTTGGTCGATAATGAATAATTTCGGCAAAAACAAATCCTGAAGTTGAAAAATCTCGATTTTGAGCAACCTATATATATCTCTGTAATCATCCCCGATAGACCCCTAGTTTGATGTATTGATGAAATCAGCACTTCAGGGAGAACCTAAAATTGCAATGAAATACAGGGTATTATATTTAATATAACAAAATTGTTGCTACTTTTGGATAGAAACGGCAACACTGCAATGCTGCAATGCAATTAAGAGAGCGCGTATTCTACAATATAAGCATGCATATTTTCATGTATTTTTCCTGACTGATTCTCGATATAGAGATACTGTAAGCTTGTCGTGACATAACCCTGTATGTTTCGTACCGTTTTTTGTATTTTTTCGATCGAGGAATACTGTCTTCTGATTTTTGTGCTTTCTGTTCGAAACTGTATTTTTTCGATCAAGAAATGTTTTCTTCTGATTTTCGTGCTTTCTGCTCGAAACTGTATTTTTTAAGAATCTACCATCTTTAATAACTGTGATACAGAACTTAATCTCGATTTTGACAAAATCAATATGGTCAGGTCATTACTTTTGAACCACTGTGTATAATCAATTCTTACTTGGTAGGTATATTCAACTCAAATCAGTCATCAAAACTAAATAGGAATCGAATTTAGAATCCAGATCCGTCTTCAGGCAAAACAGAAAACTTCTTCCTCAATAACAACACTCTCTATATTAGAATTTTGTAGATATGTTCTGATATCTGCAAGGTGCAGAAAAAATCAATTTATTGGTCTACTTTTTAACAGTGCGCACCCAATTTGAAGAATAGAATTTTTATTGAATTCGTACTCCAAAGTCCAATTTTTTTTTAAACTAACCAGTCCTCAAATTTCAACTTAATTAGAGCTGAATTAGATGAACTATCGATGGATTTTGTTCCGTAGAATAATTTGTCAATTATTTTCCCACTCTTTCCAGTTATCAAAACATATCTAGAGATTTTGGGAAAGATTATATTCTCAGCATATGTTCAATCATTAGACTTTCGAAAATAATACTGTCAGAGTATACCCGTGTTCAATACTTCATCTTATATTTTGTATATTAACCTTGATTATATGTATACTCAAAGATATTATATATTTTTCCCCCCGTATAATTTCATCATCATTGGTCATAGATTTCCCCCCGTATAATTCCATTATCATCATTGGTCATAGATAAATCATTTGTTCGGAAATTAATCGGTTAACAGCATGATTCAACTTATTAGTCATTCATTCGGGACCAGGTGGTAAATCAAGACAGTCTTATATTAGGTGTCATCAGGTACGGTCGAATTTTGTGATCGACATCGAAAAATACGCGAAAGGAATTATTTATCGTTCCAAACTGAGTGTTCCCTGCAAACTGAGTGATCGTGTTGATTCGTATATAGTGTTTTTGTATACCTCATTCGATTCAATAATAATAATATCGGGAAAGTGTGTTTTTCTAGTGTTTCGTGTTGTTTCATCAAAGCCTTACTTTTTTCACGCTGGTGAGTGCAGAAAAATTCTCTCAATTTTTCCTCATATTTCTCTGTATTCATTTAACTTCATTACCCTATACAGGGTATGTCACGAAGTCACGACGAGCTTACACTATTTTTAAATCGAGAATCAGTCGGGAGAAATCCATGAAAATGTGCATGCTTATATTTTGGTATACGCTCTTTTCATTTAAGATATGTTTGACAATGCAGTGTTGCCGCTTCTACTAAAAAGTAGTAGCAACATTGATATTTCGAACGGAACCATGTATTTTATCACATTTTAAGATTCTCCCTGTAGAGGTGAATTCATCGATATATCATACTTGGGGTCTACGAGAAGGATAACAGAGATATAGGGTGTTCAAAATCGATATTTTTTTGTGTCGAAAATATTCATTATCGGTCAAAACGGCTCGCATGTCCCTATCTCAACTTTTCTTTCACTATCTACTGATATTTAATTGAAACAGATACAGGGTGGTTCAAGGTTCTGAATTCTGAATGCATGCATATTTTCATAGATTTCGATCTCCCGACTGTTTCTCGATATAGAGATAGTGTAATGCTCGTCGTGACATACCCTGTATGTTTCGTACCGTTTGTTGTATTTTCTCCGATCAAGAAATACTTTCTTCTGATTCTCGTGCTTCCTGTTCGAAACTGTATCTTCTAAGAATTTATATCATTAACTGTGATGCAGAACGTAATCTTGATTTTGGCAAAATCCGAGGCAAAATCTTCATCTATGGTCAGGTCATAACTTTTGATCCACTGTGTATAGTCGATTCATACTTTGTAGGCATATTCAACTCATATTTCTCATCAAAACTAAATATGAATCGAATTTAGAATCCAGATCCGTCTTCAGGCAAAACAAAAAACTTCTTTTTTTTTAACAGTGCGCATCCAATTTGAAAAATAGATTTTTTATTGAACTCTTCATTCAAAAAATCCAATTTTATTACAAAAAAATAACCGAATTAGGTAAACTATCGATGAATTTCGTTCCATAGAACAATTTGTCAATTATTTTAGATATTTTCGAGTGCATGCTCATTACATTTTCACACACACAAATTAATTAACTATTTTACACTTGAATTTTTATACGTAGATTCATATTCCGAAATTATATACCTATTTTAGTATTGTCAGTAATTGTATACAGGGTGTTCATTTCAGGACTTCCCACCCTAATTTTCTCGAAATGTGTGTATGTTTTTGAAAAATCCCGAGACACGTCAACTACATTTTCGAGGGGGACATGGTTCTAAAATATTTTCAGCCCCGCGGCGTTGCCGCTTCTAACGAAAAGAAGCAACAACTTTGTTATTTCAAATGGAACACCCTGTATTTTATTGCATTTTTAGATTCTCCCTGAAAAGCTGATTTCATCAATGCATCACACTTGGGGTCTAGCAGGAATGATTACAGAGATAACGGGGTGTTCAAAATCGAGATTTTACAACTTTAGGATTTTTTTGAGTCGAAACTATTCATTATTGGTCAAAACGGCTTTCATGTCCCTATCTCAACTTTTGATTTACTATCTACTGACATTTATTTGAAACAAATACAGGGTGGTTCAAGATTCAGACTTTTGATCACCCTGTATTTGTTTCAAATAAATGTTCATTATTTTCCTCTTCTTTACAGTTAACAAAACATATCTAGATATTTTGGGAAAGATTATATTTTCAGCCTAGGTTAAATTTTTTTAAATCATTAGACTTTCGAAAATGATACTGTCAGTATATCCGTGTTCAATACTTCATCGTATATTTTGTATACTATATATCTCTCATTTCCTCTAATGATATTTTCTGATTCAAATGTACTCCGATTTAAATGTGATGTTTACTTGCAGACCCAAGAAGCAGTGTTTGATACTTGCCACTCAATCGGAGAAAACCATCCAGTAAATACGGACCGAACAGAAGATCCGCAAAGAGAACTGACCAGAGTATACTTTACAGAATTCAGATCGTTATATTCGTACGGAAGGCGATATATTGATCACCTTTCCAGATTCTCAAGCAGACAGATAGACAGATATTCAGCTTTATGTCTCTATGGAAACACGACAGGTACCCTTACGAGGGGAGAGTATCAACTCGGCGTTTATAAACCCTCTCTGCAAAGGAGGTAGATGCATAGTGGGTTAGGTATATACAGTGTTCTTCATTGCAGAGAAAATTGTTGTTTATCTGCCTGCCTCGTCTTCATTGAGATAGTTGATGAATTACAAAAATATATCGCGTTCCAGTTATGAATGTTGAAAACAATATCCAGACTTTCCATAGATTCATATTCTATGTAGGTCTCACGATTCAAATTTGAAATTGATACTTAGTTTTAGATCTGAGCTGCACATTGTTTGGCTTTCAAGGTCCTCAATATAACCCACGTAATTGAGCATGTGGAAGATGCCTACTGGAAAAACCACTATACGGAAAAAAGCGGATATGTAGCAATCTAGTTACGGACGTTGAAAATATTATTCAGGTATGTCTCAGATTCAACATCTATGTATTTCCTCTGATGATATTTTCTGATTCAAATGTACTCCGATTTAAATGTGATGTTTACTTGCAGATCCAAGAAGCAGTGTTTGATACTTGCCACTCAATCGGAGAAAACCATCCAGTAAATACGGACCGAACAGAAGATCCGCAAAGAGAACTGGCCAGAGTATACTTTACAGAATTCAGATCGTTTTATATTCGTACGGAAAGCGATATATTGATCACCTTTCCAGATTCTCAAGCAGACAGATAGACAGATATTCAGCTTTATGTCTCTATGGAAACACGACAGGTACCCTTACGAGGGAAGAGTATCAACTCAGCGTTCATAAACCCTCTCTGCAAAGGAGGTAGACGCATGCGTGGGTTAGGTATATACAGTGTTCTTCATTGCAGAGAAAATTGTTGTTTATCTGCCTGCCTCGTCTTCATTGAGATAGTTGATGAATTACAAAAATATATCGCGTTCCAGTTATGAATGTTGAAAAAAATATCCAGACTTTTCATAGATTCATATTCTATGTAGGTCTCACGATTCAAATTTGAAATTGATACTTAGTTTTAGATCTGAGCAGCACATTGTTTGGCCTTCAAGGTCCTCAATATAACCCACGTAATTGAGCATGTGGAAGATGCCTACTGGAAAAACCACTATACGGAAAAAAGCGGATATGTAGCAATCTAGTTACGGACGTTGAAAATATTATTCAGGTATGTCTCAGATTCAACATCTATGTATTTCCTCTGATGATATTTTCTGATTCAAATGTACTCCTATTTAATGTGATGTTTACTTGCAGATCCAAGAAGCAGTGTTTGATACTTGCCACTCAATCGGAGAAAACCATCCAGTAAATACGGACCGAACAGAAGATCCGCAAAGAGAACTGACCAGAGTATACTTTACAGAATTCAGATCGTTTTATATTCGTACGGAAAGCGGTATATTGATCACCTTTCCAGATTCTCAAGCAGACAGATAGACAGATATTCAGCTTTATGTCTCTATGGAAACACGACAGGTACCCTTACGAGGGGAGAGTATCAACTCGGCGTTCATAAACCCTCTCTGCAAAGGAGGTAGACGCATGCGTGGGTTAGGTATATACAGTGTTCTTCATTGCAGAGAAAATTGTTGTTTATCTGCCTGCCTCGTCTTCATTGAGATAGTTTATGAATTACAAAAATATATCGCGTTCCAGTTATGAATGTTGAAAACAATATCCAGACTTTCCATAGATTCATATTCTATGTAGGTCTCACGATTCAAATTTGAAATTGATACTTAGTTTTAGATCTGAGCAGCACATTGTTTGGCCTTCAAGGTCCTTGATATAACCCTCGTAATTGAGCATGTGGAAGATGCCTACTGGAAAAACCACTATGTGGAAAGAAAGCGGATATGTAGCAATCTAGTTACGGACGTTGAAAATATTATTCAGGTATGTCTCAGATTCAACATCTATGTATTTCCTCTGATGATATTTTCTGATTCAAATGTACTCCGACTTAAATGTGATGTTTTGTTTCAGATCCGAGCAGTATAATGTTTGGCCTTCAAGGTCCTCAATATAACCCACGTAATTGAAAATGTGGAAGATGCCTACTGGTAGAACCACACTATATTCGGAAAGAAAACGGATATGTAGAAATCCAGTTACGGACGATGAAAATATCATTCAGGTATGTCTCAGATTCAACATCCATGTACTTCATCCTGAATGATATAAATTTTCTGGTATTTATATTTGAAAAGAACAATGCAAATAATTCCACATTGCTCAGAATCTTTGAGGAATTCCATATTTGTTCATAGAGAACACTTCACTTTTTTATTTCTTCTATAGTGAATGCCTTCTCTCATCATGTAGATAAATAAAATGAATATTGGAGCAATCAACAAATCATAATGCTAATTCAAGTTTTGTTTTTAGGCTGTTCCAGGAATGATTCAAAGAATCCCAGATGTCTCAGAATCTATATGTGCAAGACATCCTTATTTGCATTTGAAGGACACTTTTCACTTCGAAACTCTACATCTGAATGATGAATGCCATTTCAACTAGATTAATAGAATATGGAGATTTTTAAGATAAGATATTAAAGTCGAACAAATTAGTCGACATATTCATGGGTGTGTATATGGAATCACACGTCAGGTACCCTTACGAGGGAAGTGTATCAACTTTGGCGTTCGTAATGCCTCTCTACTAAGGCGGGTGTCACCTTTAAGGGTTAGGTAAAAAAAGTGATTATATTCCAGTTATTTTCCAAATTATTCATGCACCAAAAAAAAGCAACAGTCGTTGCTTTAATGAACAGTGCTCTCAGAAAAAATATTCAACTCAACAAAATTGAATATCTCACAAGATTTCAAGGAAGAGTATAGAACAAGTGGTGTAGCTACTATGAAAAAGTATAAACGACGAATATTCTTCATATTTTATTTTGCAAATAATCTTCATATAACTTGATCAAACTTGAAGGCGTTCTAGGTGTGATCAACTTCAGAGCTTTTTCAAAATGTCTACCTTCCACATGTTGACTTTCCAAATTTTCTTCCAAAGCCATCATGGCTGCTTCATGGCACACTGCGTTGACTTCTGCTCCAGAGTAGCTTTCGGTATTTTCCACTAAATCTTCTATACTCACATTCAAAATCTGAATAGCAATAAACAAAATGGAATCACATTATATAGTATTAATTAAAATCTGGTGCTTATAATAATATTTTACCTATCTATTTTGATTAATAATTATTGGATGTTTGTTTTTCAGAATGAATGTATATTCGAACCTGACATTGGAAATGATATTCTGAATAATGCAAATTGATTCATAATATTCAATTCAGTTATATTATATTTACAGGATGAGTCACTTACGGGCATTTTCTCGAATTTGATTCTAAATATATCCCTTCTAGTCTGTTTATCAGGCAATGGAACATAAACTATCCTGTCTAATCTTCCTGGTCTCAAAAGGGCCTTATCAATTCTATCAGGCCTGTTTGTAGCCGCCAAAATCGTGACGTCCCCTTAAAAAATGGCTGAGTAATGTGATTTAAGTGCGAATGCGACAAAGATCTAACAATATACAGGTTGTTTCAGATATTGTACAAACGATACCTGCAGATAGAGGTCACTTTGATGGTTCCAGGACGTCACCTTGATTTTGTCAAAGTGTCCTCTATCTGCAGGTCTCCTATCTGAAACACAATGTATACTCTACTAGATCCACCCTTGTCTTACCGTCCTGTACAAAACATTGAAAGTTATGTAAAAAAGAAAAAGAACAGTCGGTTTGGCTGCATGTGCAACAAGTGAAGTACGTAGTTTTTGAAAGGTATCAGATTAGTATAGATGTAGTTTTCATTAGGTATTAGATTAGTATAGAGGTCAGATAATTTATACGACGCTATAAAAGCAGATGATATTTTATCATTGCTCATCATGTAAGATGGAAGTAGAGGCCATGGCACCATATCATGAGCATATTTTCATATTGAAACTATCATTGGGCACCAAAGATGTGTATACGACGCTATGAAAGTTCAGAGAACTGGAGATTTTTCCCACAAACTACGTACTTAGCCCACTCGACTGTCTTGGTTTTTCCACACAAACTACGTACCTAGCCCACTCGACCGCCAATAGGGACTAAAAAAACAAAAACAAAAGAAAGTTAAGACAATGCCAACATATTTCTTCTTTGTGGGTAATCAAGACAGTCGAGTGAGCTATATGTACGTAGTTTATTGGCGAAAAATCAAGACAGTCGAGTGAGCTAGGTACGTAGTTTATGGGAAAAAAAATCAAGACAGTCGAGTGTGCTTTTTTTACTTTCTTTTGTTTTTTGTTTCGTTTTCTATTGGCAAGTGATTATCTAGGAACTTGTAAATTTTTCAGTTTTTTCATCGTATCTCCCGAACTATTGAATTCAGAGAAAAATATTATACGGATTTTTTGTAGATTTTATCAAAAGGAATAATTTTGGTTCTATAACATTTTCAGATATTTTCAGTTGTTTTCGAGATATTTGGAATTATCTGAGAATAAAATTTTCAACACTTTTGTTTCATCTTCCAATCAACAAAATGAAAAAAATATTTCATGGTTCAGTGGAAGTCGATGAGCTTCATCTATCGATAATCTTTGTTTTTCAATATATCTTCATAGTACCCTATGGGTACTATGTATAGCGTCGTATAACAAAGATACATATATTTTCATCAAACCATCAGCTGGTAGCTGCTCATTGCCTTTCTCTAGCATTAATTGGTTGGTTCGTTAAATCTTTCCTCATCGATTTGAAATGTCAACGTGTCAAATCAATTGTAAGTCAAATTTAAGATAAAAACTAATAAGTCTTTTTGCTCTAACACCCTTATGGATTGGTGAATTTCAGTCAACAAGGTCTTTAAATACATAAATTCACACTAAAAATCCAAATTGAAAGAAAAATTGTCAAAAAAGTCAATTGATTAATTCTATAGAGGATGAAATTAGGTAAAGGCAATGCTTGGCACAGACAAAACTCCTTAGATTTGATTTCCTTTTAAATGAAGTGCAGACAAATAGTAGGTCTCATTTATATTGTTATCTCTTAAATGAAGAGAAATATACTTTATAATTTCACATATTCATTAATCATATCTACCTCAAACAAACATTGAGATTCTCCCAAAAACTTGCTTGGTGTAAGTTTTCAATCAACATATCAAATGATAAAGAGCTGAATTTGCAGAAAAATAAAATCAGTCAAATAGATTTTTGTGATGTTCAAGAAAACGAAAAAAATATTGAGAACATCTGCACACCCAATTTGAGATTTGATATGAAAATATCAAGCTGACTAGACCATTTAGAAGTTATACTATCAAAAAATCATGAAGAACAAATGGGTCCTCACCTAAAGGAGTGACCCCATCGAGTTCAGTGAGAAGTTGCGCCAAAACTCGCTCCTGAACGCTAGTAGAAGAATTGGAGGACCTCTCCCCACCCAGAGCATCTATTTCGTCAAAAAATATTATAGACGGCGCCACTTGGCGGGCTTTCCGGAATACCTCTCTTACGGCTCGTTCTGATTCGCCTACCCATTTACTGAATAGTTCAGGTCCTGAAAATACAGGATATTGTTCTTTATCAGTTGAGCGATGCAGAGATTATAGATAATCTCTGAGCGATGACATGAGATGCGAAAAAAATATTTTTCTATAAGCGTGCGTGATTCACCCTATACCCGCACGCAATTTAGTTTGGAAAGTGTCATTCGTCTCCCGCAGTAGTGCGCGAAAAATTTTCCCACACTAGTGCTGGAATAGTAATTTTCCTAACAAGTGCGGACAGTGATTCTTTCCCGCACGCTACTGCCGTTGCACGAACGACGCGAAGCATATAGGAATGAAAATGTCAATGTTTGAGTAGGTTGCAAAACATTGTATATTGACTGTTTTATTAGAAGTAGTACATAGCTGAGAAAATTCAAAATTTCCCAGCAAAAAAACTTTCCCTTGGAATTAAACATAAGTACTTTGAAAATGAGACATTTTGAGACAGTTTTGATAAGGGAAAGCAGCATTAAAAAAACTCCTTCACCTAGGAGTGATGCTTCAATGTAAGATATTGGTATTTAAAATTAGGTATCACTCCAGAGGCTGTTGAAATCAAATGTTTTATTAGGAATAAAAGTGGATTTGTAGACCTGAATATAAACAAAGAAAATGATGAAAAATTTAAATAAGGTCACATATTATTTGAAAGATGGAAATTTCATACTTTTACAGACCTCTAATCACAGATTTGTGATTGGGTTTTCTCAATTTAGAAATTCTTTACATGCCCTGTATGATGATCATGTTCTTGTTTCCATACAATATATATTATAGTCTAGTCTGTTGAAAATTTCCCACATAAAATTGTTTTACCTTTAATAGAGAGAAAGTTGAGGCCACTTTCTGTAGCTAGGGCTTTTGCTATCATAGTTTTGGAGCATCCTGGGGGGCCAAACATCAAAACTCCTTTTGGCGGCGTCACCCCTAACCTCAAAAAACTATCTGAGTACTTCAGTGGCCACTCCACTGCTTGTCTCAAAATCAACTTGAGATTTTCTTGGCCACCTATATCTGACCATTTCACATTTGGTACCTGAAAATTTAGGATATGTCTACACTTTGCAGTGATATCGCTAACCACAAAATACAGAAATTTTTTTGAATACTTCATCAAATCAAAATTTGCTGAATGATACATAAAGATCTAGTCATGTTATTGATATCAGCTGAAAGTGTTAGTTCTCTAATTTTAATAAATTACTAGTAGTAGTAGTAGTAATCTTTATTATAGGATATATTCTAATCTTACAATAAATATAATATTTTTTTTTATCGCTTGGAGCGCACGAAAGGGGATCCCTATAATGTTCAAAGAACATCGTGCGTTCCTAGGCAGGATAGGGATAGGAGGTAGGTATTGGAATTTTTTTTGAACTTCTGAAGATTATAATATGTTGTTGGAAATACTTCCACAGGCAATGAATTCCAGAGCCTAGCCGTTCTATGGATGAAGGAGTCTTGATAAAGTGCTGTTCGACATCTATATAATGATGATTCATAGTTTCACACAGTGCCAGAAATATTAATGAGATTCAGGCGACAAAAAAGTACAAACGAAGATACATAATAAGAGATATAAAAAACATTGATATTACGAAATGCACACATTTAATGGCCTTTGGTAAATTATTAACTTCCGGTAGTCCCTTGAAGAATAAATTTTTCATGCCACCACCAGATGAGTTCTATATACAGGGTATCCCTAGACAAAGATTCCTAGACCAGTGGGACAGTTGAATATTTCCTGAACCAATAGGAATTTTCAAAATATTATAATTCCACATCATATCGCATTATGAGGGCTAACTTCAGGAATGACTATATTTTATACGGCGGGCGCAAGAAAGGCTCACAAACTCGAACATCATTTTTTTCAAATGGAACACCCTGTATTTCATTGCATTTTTATATTCTCCGTGAAGAGCTGAATTCAACGACCTAGCACACTTGGGCTCTAGCGGGAATGATTTCCGAGATATAGGGTGTGGAAAATCGAGATTTTTCATTTTTGGGAATTTTTTGTGTCAAAACTATTCATTATTGGTCAAAACGGCTTACATGCGCATATCTTAACTTTTGATTTACTATTCACTCGTATTTAATTGAAACAAATACAGGGTGGTGTAGAATTCTCAGGTTCAGTCGGAATTCCACACCACCCTGTATTTGTTTCAATTAAATACGAGTGAATAGTAAATCAAAAGTTAAGATATGGACATGTGAGCCGTTTTGACCAATAATGAATAGTTTTGACACAAAAAATTCCCAAAAATGAAAAATCTCGATTTTCCACACCCTATATCTCGGAAATCATTCCCGCTAGAGCCCAAGTGTGCTAGGTCGTTGAATTCAGCTCTTCAAGGACATTATGAAAATGCAATAAAATACAGGGTGTTCCATTTGAAAAAATTGATGTTCGATTTTGTGAGCCTTTCTTGTGCCCCTCGTAGAAAATATAGTCATTCCTGAAGTTAGCACTCATAATGCGATATGATGTGGAATTATAATATTTCGAAAATTCCTATTGGTTCAGGAGATATTCAACTGTCCCACTGGTCTAGGGACACCCTGTATATATGAAAATATGCATTTGACCTTGTCTCCTGTTCATGTATTTGATTATTGAAAACATAAAATTCATTAAAATATGTAAGTTGAAGACTTTTGGTTATTTTAAATATAAAAACCATTGTCAAAAAAAAATAATCCATTTGAAATCCACAGCCATCCTAGCATATTCAACGTAATGATCATTGAAAGTATAACGACTGCATCTCAAAATGATTCTCTTGCCCTGATTCTGGAGTTTTTGAAGTTGGGAAACCCTATTTTGGTTTATCAAATGCATTAAAGTTGGGCAGTACTCAAAATGAGGTTTAATTATGCAATTATATGTTAATATTCTGGAGTGAATAGTCAAATTATTTGCTACTCTAGAAAAAAAAAATTCAAATTTTTTTTAAATATACTCAGCATGACTATTCCAACTCAGGGTGTTGTCTACAATAACTCCCAGATACTTTATTTCAGACACATATTCCAAGGCAGTGCTATCAATCTCAAATTTTATTCCATTGTAATCAATAGAGTTTAATTTATATTTTGTTGTAATCACCATAACTTTTGTTTTGTTTGCATTCAATTTCAATTTATTTTTATGTAAATAGTTTTCAATATTATTCATAGAACATCTGAGGATATCTACAGCATTGTTCAGTTCTGTATTTGGAACATAAAGCAAAGTATCATCTGCAAACAGATAAGTTCATGTGCCCCAGGAACATAGTAAATATCATTCAGGTATATTATAAATGAAAGTGGACCTAGTACACTTCCTTGGGGAACACCAATGTTGATATCTATCTCATCAGATATTTTTGAACCAATTTTAGTTTTTTGTTTTCCTCCACTTAGATAACTTATTAACCAAGCTGGTGCAGAGCCTGTTACTCCATAATAATTCAATTTTATAATTAGAGAAAGTATATTGAATAGCTGATTCACATGAATGATGCTTGAAAAATTGTATTAATATTACCTCAATCTGAACCTCCCTCATTGCACTAGGCCTCACCATCTTCATAGCAAACTTGAAATCCTCCAAATTAACCTCAGCAGCCCCTCTTTTGATTGCATGCAAGCCAGCTCTAGAGCATAAAGAAACTAGATCAGCTCCAACAAAACCATGAGTGTTCAATGAAATATCTTTATTGTCATCTTCAGAGAGGACATTGGGGATTTTTTCCAGGAGTTTATCAAGGATCAATCTTCTATTATGTGGACTAGGTGTAGGAATTTCAATTTCTCTGTCAAGTCTACCACATCTTCTGAAAGAGGGGTCTACATTGTCAGGTTTATTGGTGGTAGCTATAAGGAAGATACATTGGTGCTTGTTTGTTGCCAATTCATCAAAAAGAAGCAATAGGGTTGAAACAACTCTCTTTTCAGTCTCACTGAGTCTATTGCTCCTAGAAGGGCATAAAACATCTATCTCATCCAAAATGATAACACTTGGTGCATGCTGAAATGCATTATTGAACATCTCTCTGATGTTTTCTTCTGGAGAAACTGTGTTTTTGCTGAACAAATCTGGAGGGCTGATAGTAACTATGTTTGCTTTAGACTCCTGGGCTAGAGTTTGTGCTATTGTGGTTTTCCCTGTGCCTGAATTGCCAAAGAGTAGAACTGCTTTTGTTTGGTACAGAAAAGAGATTTTGGATTTGTTTAGACAAGTGTACATGAGACCACGGATTTCAGATAACTCTTCCTCTATCCCTGCTAAAGAGGTTAATTGTTCTTCTCTTGTGTTCTTTTCAAAGTCTTCTTGGTCTCTGTGAATGATGGTAATATAATAAAATAAAAAATACTGACCTTTCTTCCTCTGAATATTCACCTGTATAATTTCCATTTAGTGTGGGATGTTACTTCAAATACCTCATCAGGCTGTTCAATACATAATCTATCAAAATTTGTATTCAAGTCATTCTGATTATTACTGGCTTCAGTGACTTCTATGGATTTTATCTCAAACCTCAAAAGTTTACCATAGAACATTGACCCAATTTGATTTCCTAGGCTCAAAATTCTTGACTCATGAGATTTACTTATCCTGTTGTACAATTCTGATGAGAATTCTAAAGATTTTGGACCATTTAATGTTACCAAAGTAACACAACTAGCTTTCCTAGGCTCTGAAGAGAGCTTTGATACTATAACTTTTTGGTTGATTGAAAATAAACTCAAGTCAAGACCTAAAAATCAATAGAACAAAACTATGATATTGTTTTTTGCACATTTATACCATTTTTTGTGAAGAGCACAGATGTGAGAGTTTTTTCAGTAGTGGGCCACACAATTTTAGCAACTTGACTGGACCCATTCAAACTTTTAACTGATACCCAATCACCTATAGCAAGTGAACAAAGTCTAATGACAGATTCACTCAAAAAGACCAAGTTGTCTCTTTCTCTAGTGCTCAAATTCTTGACATCTTCATTACATTTCTGATCCACGGTTCCATATAAGACTCCTTTCTTTATAAAATTGTAGATTGGTTCATTAACATCAGGGGGACAATCAGTTATATGAGCTTCCTTATCTTTGTAAAGCAGAGATACTGAACATTTTTCACATAGGGTCCAAGGAGAAGTCGTTTTCTTTTGTTTTTGTGCAGACATCTCATAACGAAATGAATTAGATGAGCATTATAAAAAACTTTGGAAAACCTGAAAGTGAAGGGGTAAAAAGTAAGGTTAAAATTTGGTTCTTCTTTTCATTCGAGTGACCTCTGCTCTATAAGGCGTTGGTCCATTATTCCGGATAGCCACCATAGCACATAGCTGCACCATCCTACCAAAACGAAAGAAGAAGAACCCAGATCCTTCTAAGATTGGAAGTGACTAATGCACTGTTCAAACCGAGATTAAACCATATACGTATTAATAAACAATACGGATCATAACGGGTGCCAGGATGAAGCCAAAAATATGGAACAAATGAATATCCATAAGGATTTGGTGGCATGATACGCATGCGCCATGCGCTATTATAGTAGTCATCAAAGACATGCGTTTCGGTGGACAATGACGTTTACTAGCCTTTCAATCAAAGCAGTATGTGTCTGATCGTTTCAAAACTTTTCCTTATGGATAGTCATTTGTCTTCAAAAATCGGCTTCATGTTTCGCTATGGAAACAGATAGAGATTATCCGTATTGATTATTAATACGTATATGGATTAAACTATAGGGATTAAACCCGACTTAATCCATTAAAAAGAGGGGTATACCAGGACAGAGATCAGTCACCCATCAGTGATCTCTGACCATGATTTTGTGTGACCCAGTATACGTACAGGACAACCGTGGACAACCCGAACCCAAACAAGATTTAGGACCCATTCCCAGTCCCAAAAAAGGAAGGATTTAGGAACAGAAAATTACGACAAATCTAGAATAATGATATATTTTTAGTACATGAATCTGAATATCACATATATTTTGATCAGAAATAAAAGTTGCCTAAACATTTGTTGCATGTTTTAAGGTGTATGTGTCCCATTTATTTCAACTCATGTCAATAACTAGACAGACATTGACTAGACAAAGAGACTAGAGACATAGAGCATTAGAGCAACAAAATCGCGATAGAAAATAACACGTCGCCCCTATTTAGTAGGTTTAGAAATAATTTTCTTCTATACCAACCTTGTATGGTCGCCCCACCTGATGACGACGACGGCAACTAACACTTTTGAGCGGTTTGTTTTGATCGAATAAGTGAACAATAAGCTCTAACAAAAAACGAATCGGAACCAATGAAAATAAAAGTAAACAGACCGCTTCGACAGCTTTCAAACACTCCGATAGGTGGCGTACGCTTATTTTTTATAGCGAACTTGGTTTTCAACGTCAACATGTATGAAAATAAAATCTGCATGATTGAATAATCGAGTCTCCAATCTGTACATAAACTGCTGTATTGTTAAAGCGTTTATGGTCCTCATCGCATTATAGATCCCTCGGCTAACGCCTATCGATGAAATTACACAACCGGGATAGTTTTTGGATCCGTGACACTTCTCAAATACACACTAGATATGTCGTTGCTTTCTATCCATTTGGCCAGCTCCAAAGTCATCTCGGGTTTTTGTTTTTTCGCCATTTCCGGATCGCTCGCTGGGAAGTTGGTGAGAAGATCTGTGATGATGTCATTGGCGTTACAGTCGACCAGTCTCGTTTTGCACATAACTATGGCATTGATGAAGTTATCGGCTGGACTGATGAAACGGTGTTCCATGTATATGTTCTGCTCATCCCAATGAATAATCTTGAAATTAGAGAAAACATGTTGTACATGGTTGATTCAATAGTAAATTGTTTTATTAGGATCAAAAGTGACACTTTTCGTTTGACAAGCGAAATTAGCGTGAAAAATTCATGAGGGTGGGGTCACTCTGTATGTTATTGAAATATGTGAATAATAGGAATACCTGCTATATAATACTCATAATTGTTTCATTGATGATTATGGCAAACATAAAAATTATCTCAACTACGAATTATCTATTTTTTTTTTATTATTTACCTTTGTTGTTATGTAGTATCGGCTGAAAATTTTGATGAACCTCCTGTATCTTATGGAAGTGGCCCCTAGCAGAATAGAACCCCCTAGGCTCTTGATTTTTTGGAAAAGGCCCGTCCTTAGGTTGAAATCGATTTTAGCAAAGTCGAGCTCCCTGATATATCTGGCATTATTCATGTGGTCCAAAAGATTGTCTATGTCGGTTGTAAGGCAAATACCTGTAAAAAGTCCTCATTGGAGTAAATGCTGATGACCGATATTCTCAGAAATCGTTCAGAAGTTCGACAAAAGTTGAGGTTCCCAGGAAGGACGATTAGGCAACAATGCGCTGTTTGACACACAATGACATTATTTATGTGTGTTACGTTACAAGGCCGATATGTAGCAAATGACGGATAAGGTTGAATATTCAAGCCGAGGCGCAGCCGAGGATTATAACAACCGAATCCGTTATTTGCGTAACAACCGTGTGAGACGGGGAAAAAGTTAGGCGGGAGAAAACTTTTTTTCTGCCTTATCTACAGTTGCAACTGTAAATCAGGAGATGTGTAGAAAAAAAAGTTCTCTTGATCTAATTTACAGTTGCAACTGTAAATAAGGCAGAAAAAAAGCATTGAAAATGTAAGTTTTACTTTTATACGTGAAAGGACCCCGCAAATTTTCAAGGTAATTTGGGTCCCGGTGGATTTTTCTCAATTTTTGGTATGATGTAGTTCATTTGATTCAATTACATATTGGCATTGCGCCAACCCCCAAAAATGAACAGTTTTTTTGCTAGGGGGGGTTGAATTCACATTTTGACCGAATTGATTATTTATTTCTGAGAGAATGAACAATATTCTAGAATTTTTTATTTCATCTAATTTCTCCTATGAATATATGCTTTTTGAAAAAAATATAGTGAGGGGGAATTATTACCCCAAACTCCCATTTTGAAAAACGAAAATAAAAAAGAATTCGCCTAACCGTCAGAAGTGATGAAAAATGTTCCATTACCCAGAATTATGGAAACCGCCATTTTGTATTATTGCCCCTCACCGAATGGGAGGCGCCCATGAAAAAAAAGTTCGGTGGATTTCGCTGAATTTTTGATATAATGTACTCTATATGATACTGATCAGAAAATAATTGGGTGACAATCCTGAAAAATGGACAGTTTTCCTGCTACAGGGGGTTCAATTCACATTTTGAACACATAAATAGACTAGATGAGTACCTACCTATTTGATTCTGAACTTCTTTTCAATATATCATCTCCATTCCCTATATTCCCTAACAATTATTCATAAAAAAATATTTTGAGGGGGGGTTCCTACCCCTTCAAAAAGTATTTTGAGAAATATAAAACAAAAAAACAGTGCTACTGTATCTAAAGAGCATAAGAGAATGATTGATTACGTGAAATTATGGCAAAAGCTCTCTTGCATGATTGCTTCCTCTCCACCAAGTGGGGGATGCGCATGAAAAACATTTTTGGTGCATGGATTTCCACTGAATTTCTATGAGGTGCTTTTTGTGATTCCGACCAATTCCGATTCCGATTATCGGTACCGGTTACCAAAAATGAGCAGTTTTTCCGGTAGGGCGTGTTGAACTCATATTTCTCCTTTGTGAGATTACCTCGAGAAGAATGTGTATTTTTCTTGACGGGTACAGAATATGAAATATGTATTTTAACTTTTTTTTTTTTTCAACACAAAAAACTCATTATTTCGTCCACCCCAACACCTCTCAAACAAATAATAGATATCAAATTCAAGCTATTTTTTCATATATCCAACACTTATTTAAGGAATATTCTTCACTCAATGAACTTGATATAAATATTTCCAGTTTATTTCTATCGTTTTCATGAAATGGAAATCAAAATCTATGGTATAAGTTACTGTCGATCGTTACCGCTTTTCAATTTTAAACAGTCACCATCCCAGTCATTATTATTACTATCATTTAAAATCCCGTTAAAAACCATCATTTCAATTCTATCAATCAGTGAGTTATGCTCTCGGAAGTTGGATGAGCAATTGTTTCATTTAGATAGGTATAGGTATCCTAGTACTGTCAAACTGATTCATTGTTTTTTCGACAGTTTTTGTAGAATTATTGATGATATTTTGTGTCTTACTTGCTTTTATTTATATTTTATTTATTTCTACCTATTGTACTTCACTTTGCGTTCACATTATCAATGTGCATGTGTTCCCGGTACATGAATCTGTGTGTTTGTGATCCATATGATTATTACCAATGGCGTTCCAGAATAGAAGAAGTTGTTACATTTAAGAACGATTATTTCGTCCAGCGCAATTATCAAGAATTGATGGAATAGAAAATGCTATTAAACGCGAAATAGCAGTAATTCGGCGAGATGCCGCGAATAGACCTCCTATCAACGTGGATGATGATAGCCGCCTGTGCATCAATTGCAGCAGATCTATAAATGAAGAATTGCTAGAAATTGAAAATAATCCAACATGTTTGAGACTAAATGTTCTGAGTCAAACTCGAAATTCAACTTGTTTTATTTGTGATGGAGTAAATGACATTCATAGACTTTCTTTAGAATCTAGAGTTGATGTATTCATAAAGAAGAATATTTACATTTCTGAGGATGTCAGGTCGTGCGGTGAGCATTTAGACGATAAGGAAGGGCCATATTTTGAACGTTCTTCTTCCTGGTTTGCGTTTTATCAATAGACCATGCGTCCTTAAAGGAATTCAAATTCAAAACTTTCTGCAACATATTGAACAATGGTGATAACATATAGTTTCGAAGTGTAAATATTCATACTACTTACTCTATATGCCGTCGTTACCAATTGTGAATTGATACTACACTTACTACAGTTCCATCTATACCTAATAATATCAAATTCCATTTTTCTCAGTCGTATTCCATTAGAAGAATCATAAGAAAGTACCTCATTGATCATAATATGTGAAAATGAAATCAAATGGTTATTGACCTGAGTCTTTCAGCCAATGGGAGATATAATAAGTGAAAAGTTGTTATCTTTTCAGATTTGAATTATCTCATTCTCAATCATCATCACAGCCATAATCACATGGAATACAACCACATTATACCTATATTGAGAATCCAGTGTAAATCCATGCACCAAAGATGTTTTTCATGC